AAAAAAAAAAAACGCAGCACGAAGGAGGAAGTCATAATATGTATAAGAATGACCTTCCTTCTCTAGTTCTTCTTCTTCTTTTTCTTCACTATCCCTTCACTCTTCACCTGACGCTTTTTATCAGACGTCTTGATCTTTTTTGCACCCTTCAAAGGACGTTCCTTCTTGCCTTTACCAGCTGTGGAGCTATTTATATTGGACTTTTTATTCTTCTTTTTCTTCACTTGAGAGTCATTCTCCTCCTGCGGGGCGTTGAACTGCATTTGACCATCCTCACCAATAGTAAACAGACCTGCATCATCATCATCATCATCATTACTATTCTCGGGCAATGAGATATCATCACTCTGAATACTGGTGCTAGATTCCATACTTCTGTTGGCAGTAGCATCTGCACCGGCATCAGAAAGAACAGAATCTGTGGGTTCATCAGCGTCCTCATCATCATTAAAACCATACAACTCCGCTGGGATGTGCTCCACACTTGTGCAAGTTGCAAACTCACGCAATGTGTTTTCATTAAGGGGGACAACATATGCAGCGTTAAGTGCACTACGTTTCACAACCCAACGTCCCAACCGTGGTTCCTTGCTACAGCCGATGAGAAGCACGTCACTAGTGAGAGAAAAGTACAAGGAAGTAACAATAGCATCTACCGGAATTGACGCTAAACACTCAAACTTTGTTGTGGATGATATTCCTGCCGCATCGTTGGTAGATTTTTCCGTCTTTTTGGTTCCATCTGGAGTGGTGAGACGCCAAATACGCACAACACCATCATAGCTTGCACTGGCTGCCACGTCTGAGTACGGCAACGCTGCCACCGCTGTGATTGGATTAGGATTCTGTCGTCGATGTTTCTGCTCTTGCTTTTCTTGCTGTTGATGTGCATTTCCTTCTCGTCGTTCGTCATTTTCCTTCTGGTTTTCTTCAATTTCCACCTTCTCTAGTCCTGTACCATCTCCTGTAAATCCATAACCATGTGCTGCCTCTCGCACAGCGATTGGCTTACGTCTGTTCACATCAAACACGAGGAGCGCTCCATTTGCCGCTCCACAGATAACAATGTTATCATTCATCATGGCCACACACTCAAGCACAACTTTCACACCAAAGTGAACGCTAGCGGCAAATTCTTGTTGCGTAGCTGCATCAACCTTCCAGTAGCGCATTGCACCATCTTCGCCAACAGTTGCACAGCGTTCGCGCTTAAGGCAGTGAATGCCAAGAATACGACCTTGGTGACCGAATAGTTTATCTTCACAGATCATCTGTGGCACCGACCACACCCGCAGTGTCTCATCGTTACTGCAGCTATAAAGTGTATCATGACGAAATGTCAAACCAGTCACTGCGCCATGGTGCATTGTAAGAAATCCCATATGTTTTCGTGTAGATGTAACCCAGACACTTATGGTACCATCTGCGGCACCAGCAGCAATATAAGACGTAACACTTGTGTCAACGGTACTACGCTCAAAAAGTGCGCGCTGAGAGGGACGTATGCCACGGGTATCGGAGACTGCAATGGTAAGAACTGCTGCAGGTAAGTATGGACTGAGTAACGATTTCTGTGAAGTCACAGAGTTCTGCTGCTTCTGCTGCTCTTGTCCAGGCGATGAACTGCAGTTCAACTCTGCCACATAAACGGCACCTGACTTATCGCCAAGTACCACCAGATTAGAGCCAAAACTACATACCGCCGTTACTGCGTTGCTGTTGTGACCTACACGCACCATTTTTACACCAACTGAAGAAGCGCTGTCAATAATATCACGACCACCCTTATCCTTCTTAGATGTTGTCTGTTCTTGTTCTTGTTGTTGCTGCAGGAAAGCAGCTATCTGTGGAGCCAAGACACGCGATTTTGTTCCTGCTGCCAGCGCCGCCTCCTCCCGCAGCTGCCGCTGCTGTTCGTCAAACAAGTCGGCGTCGAGGTCGTCGTCGAACTCCAACTCCTGCAGTCGTGTGTTGACGTGATCGCCAATGGCGCGCAGGACGGCGGCGGGGTCCTCCGCAACTGTCGGCGTCTCGCCGCGCGGCCGCTTTCCCCGCAACGCGTCGCCTGTGCGCTCCGCCGCCGCCACCGCCTGCCGCCTCTCCGCCTTCTTCTTCGCCAGCATTGAGAAGTACCCTCTGCAAGTGATGGGGATGGGAGGTGGGGAGAAAGAATGGATTCAGAGAGAGAGAGAGAAAGGAAAAAAAAAATACAAGAGAACTACAAACACATTCAAAGAATAAAAATAGGAAATCTATTTGTGGGAGTATACATGGGGTTCAGAAAATAATTACAAGCAATGAAAACCAAAAAAAAAAGGAAAAAAAAAAAAAAAACACTGCCTACGCTGGAGAGAAAATATTTGAATACTAACTCTTCTCATATCATTTACCATCTTATCTTCCACCACCACGTACCTGCTGAAAGGAGAGTTCGGCTTCACAAGCCACTAATTTTATCATTACACGCATCGCGCACCGAAGCATCTGTTGCTTTGGTACATCAGGTAGAAAGATAAGCATGAGTTCACGAACACGATTACAGGCAGACATTGCTTCATTCAATGTTACCGGAACAGTAGTGTTATGTTCACTCACTTGATAGGATGATGATGATTTGTTGTTACTGTTACTGACTGTACTACAAAACTGCTGCATGATGGATGCTACCAATGTTGGTGTTGGCCACATAACGAGAATGTTTACACCCTCTGTGTGAAGCAAGAGAAGTGGTTCAGATAATTGTGAATGATGCGCCAGTTGATCCCGTCGTCTAACTACCAAACGTAATTGTCGTTTACGCTCTTGTGCACTAAAACGCATAGCTGATGAAGGTTCACTATACACAATTCTAGCTGATCCCTCACCACTTCTTTGACCTCTAAAAATCACCGCAAACCACTGTAGCCCATCTTCGTGAATGAATGACATTGATGTCGTATAGTTCCAATCAGTAGTACTAGTTGAAAAGGAAGGTGGAATTGTATCTTCAACATTAAAACCCTCCGATTGCTGTTGTTGTTGTTGTTGTTGCCCTTGCTCTTGTTGCTGCTTTAGTTGTCTAGCCATTACCATTAATTGAGACATTTTCTGATGTTGTAAGGCCGCTGCTCTACTATTTGCTGAAACAAGAGATAAGGGAACATTCTCCCGTCGAGAGAGTTCCTCCTCTAGTAAACTAATCACTGGTATTAATCGACGTGCTATTTGGTACGACTGTTCTGCAAGAAATGAAAAAATACCCTGGTTCACAGCAATATAAACTAATAACAGTCCCTCTGACTTTGTATAGTCTGCTGGAGTCTCATGAGAAGAGTTATTGGCATCCACATCAGCCACCTCTGGGTTCTGCTGCTCATGCTGGCTAGTTGCTAGATGAGATGTAGAATCAAAGGAGGCAGATCTATCACGCGCATGTCGAGATTCACGTGCCATCACACTCATGTTGGTGCAGTAACACCATAAGTAACCAGTGTTATTATATCGTGGTAGGCAAATTGGTGCCCATATTTCTCCCTCTTGTGAATGAGCGAGACAACGGACAAAGTTTAATAAAAGAAGAGCATCATCGATATGAAGGAAAGCATCAGAGTTAGCCGGTCCAACTGCACACACAATACGTCCACGAAAAAGAAAGAAACTAAAAAGATGATGTTTCGCTGCTAATACTGATGATGATGATGATGATGATGATGCCGCTGACATCGTATCAACATGTTTATCAGCATTATACTCATTTATAAAAGATGAACCGTGATGACGTGCAAGAAGTGTCTCAAGCATTCGACGACGTGCTACTGAAAGAGGTGCAGCAGAAAGACAGCGAAACAAATAACACTCTTCATGACTATTACTTCGTATAAGTTGTTGTATTACCCCAACATCAGCAGAGGAAATAAGGCGGCGCAAGTCGTACGATGGACAACGTGCTAGAATATCACCAACATTTGGTAAAAGACTAAGAAGTTGAAGATGTAATTGTCGCATTTGCCGCATACAACTACGCGGTGACTCACCTGTACGTGTTACCAACACATAATATACTTCCCCTTCCACATGGAAGTATATACAAAGATCACCTGCTGTCAAACAACGTAGACCAATTTCTTGTTGATTTTGAAATGTTGTACCAGTATTACAACGTTGTTGTGCCATATTAATAAGCACTTGAAAAACACCAAAGATATCACTAAATTCATTCTCACATCCATAACGTGAAAATACAGGTTTACCCGAGCTTGTGAGTATAAACACATGCTTCTTGTGCTTTCGAAGAATATCATCAGTCATCATAGATGATTTTAACTGCTGAGAGGCTTGAGTGGAAGAAGATGTCAATGGAGAGGAGGTTCTTTCAGTTTCCTTTTGTGGTACTAAAGGTAATGACTTTTCTGCTCCTGTTCTACTTTCTACTTTTTCCGGTGTTTCCGCTGCTACTGTTTCCATTACAGCTAAACCACGATCAACAGAAAGCTGTAGGTCCATATTGGTAGCAGCACCAAGTTCTTCTTCTTCTTCACTTTTATCATCACTATCATTCAAATTTTCTTCTACTGTAGAGAGGTCCATAGTGCCAAAATTAACTTTCTGTATTTTATTAGTGATAATCTCTTGATGTTTCGTTTCGTTCTCGCAAATATTATACTCTGACTGTTCCAAGTAATATTTGTCTATTTTCGTTACTTGTCACGATAGATTATTATTATTATTATTTTCTTTTTTTGTAACTTAATAAGTATAAAGATGTGTAATATTACCCTCTTTCAATAACTCTGTACCCTCTGTTTGTTTTTGTTTTTTTATTATTTTTGGTGGGGACGACAGAAGTTGTAATATATTTAAAACACAAATAAAGGAAAAATAAGAAAAAGAAGAAAAACATCGATGTGTTCATATAGGAATACAAACAATGAGAGAACACAGCAGAATGTGATACCACAAAGATGCAGAAAAAGTAATGCAGCGAAAGAAAGGAAAAAATACAAGTTAAAAATAAAATAAAATAAAATACACATGTAAACATGTGAACGAATAAATAAATAAATAAAAAATAATATATATATATATATATATATATATATATACTTATACATTTACTGTCAGAGAAAACCACTGCGGATTTTTTGGCCGTCTTCTTCGCTAAATGTTGGGACAGAGAACCATGTGGGTGGGTGCCACATAGCCCGTGTAAAGAGGAAATAAAACATCAACTCATAGAGGAAGAACTGGTAATAAGCCGCGTTTAAAAAACCACGAAGATCAATCCAAGCCAAATTATCCCAAAGATGATGATTGGTCATCACTAGTGGAGCATCATCTACAGTGTAGCAACAATTCTTATCATTCTCAGTATTAACGTTTGCACCGCCATACAACATTTCTGGCCACATGGCACGCCAAGTCGTCATAACAATGTGAAATGAAGAGTATCCATCATATTTAGCAAACCCTGTCATTGTATCTCTGTTAGAAACGAGAGATTTTTCTTTCAAAAGAGAAGCCGCTTGTAGCACTTGACGAACATTGTGACTTACCACCGGTACCTGTGCAAAAACAGCTCCATAACTCTTTACAGTTGGTAATGCTGCGCAATCACCGATTGCAAATATATTTGCATAATTTCGGTGCTGTAGTGTATGATGATGTACATCAACAAACCCTTCTGCCTCCTCACTGCTTAGTCCACTCTTACGAATGAAATCAGGAGCAGCAAGAGGGAGATCCAACACAAGCAGTTGGTACGGCACCACCCGCTTCTCTTTAGTAGTGTAGTTGTACAGTGTGGCCTCGCTACGCCGTGGATCGACGTGTGTAAGGTATGAACATGTAATTAAGTTCACACCGCGATTACGCCAAAAAGACATGATACGCTCATTCAGTGTGGTGGGAAAAACATCACTTGGTTGTCGATCTGCCGTAACAACCATGTAAGGGCAGAAAGAGAGTTTATTGAAGTAGCACAAATAGCGCCAAATAGTATTTACTGTTCCAATAAAAGTACCGTCATGCTGGCGTGAGGGATAACGCATTTTCTCATCTGCAGTAAAAGAAGCAGGTGGCACCTTTACATGCAAAACAGTTCCGCTAAACAAGTGTGCCAGACAATCACGCGTAATACCCGGGTTTACAGCAATACGGTGTCGATCTACTTGTGAAGAAGAAATAAAATCTTGCAACGGACCCAACACCCGTTCCGCACCACACGCAATAACAAGTGCATCATACTGATAACGGCGTTCTACAAGACCCATAGTTCCACTATTATTCTTGTCATGATTACACAGCCTCAAGAACCGCAAAACTTTGGTCATTGTGGATGAAAGTGATATTGATTTTGTTGTATTAGGTGTTGTTGTTGTTGTTGTTGTGGATGCTACTGCTGCCTCTGCTGTTGCTGCTGCTGCTGCCGTCGAGTCAATGGCGGCAGTGGGATTCTCAAGCACAACAACTTCATTCTTTGAGGCATCGATGCGAATCACCTTACCACGCACCAGCAGTGCATCGCGTGTGACATTCCACGTGGCCGGTGAACGCAAAAAATCAACACCACCTGTCGTGTTAAGATCATAGCTGCGATGTCCAACATGTGCAAGTGGGACCATGGCTTGAAATACATGTTTTTTCTCTTGTTCAATCACCGTCACATGCAGATCCGGTGAAGCACTTGTCAGACTTGCTGAGAGTGCCGATCCAGCAGCTCCAGCCCCAATGATAACAACCCGCTGTCCTCGGCGGTGCTGTCGCAACAACCCCTCGGGTCGCCGTTGACGTTCCCTTGTTTTCTCAAGTGCAAAGTATGAGGCCATCACAACTGTAAGAAATGCAAAACCAGCTGATGCAGTAATAAAGCGTCGTGACTTTTGAACTGCAAAGGGATTTTCCTTTTGTTTTTTTGGTCCTTTAGGAAGATACATTCTGTACACACCACCTCCAGCACTACCACTACTACTACTACTACTAGTACTACTACTACCACCACGAATAGGTTAGAAAAAAAAAGGAAAAAAAAAAAAGACTTTACTCACCTTTATTTTCATGTGTTATTTTTCTTTCTTTTAATTGATTTCCATTTTTATAATAATACCTTTTTTTTTGGTTACATACATCATTTCAAGATCATTATCAGAACCTTTTCCAAAGAAATGTGATCATTGATTATTTGATAAGTCTACAACAGTACAGTACATCATAAAACGAGAACATTACAACTAAATCTTTCTTCTCATGGAGGCAATGCACGCATAACTTCATGTTGCTGTTTTACAAGGGCCTCCTTGCGTACACGCTCCTCCTCCTTTGCCTGTAGAACAGCCTTTAGGTCAGTGTTAGCAAAGAACTCTAGTAGATCACTCACAGGGTCATCGGGGCGCTGCATGATGAGCATTTGCATTGCACACCGCATGATGGCATCAATCTCTGGATGAGATCGCAAATACTTGGCATGTGCAATCTTTTCCTCTGTGAGATTACGCCGAAGATTTAGCAGTTCTTCCTCAGTTAAAACAACCGTTGCAGCCTCTGTGAGAGTGGGAAAGTCCGAAGAGGCTTGACCGTTACGGATGCCCCCATCTTCTTCACCCCCACTACTTTTACTCGTCATATTATCTAATATATATCTATAAATCTATATAGATATAATATATGATTACTTTGAACCTTTTTTATTCTCTTTTTTTTTTTTTTTATTCCTCACACTAGACGCTATAGCAATAGTAAAAACAGAATAATAATAATAATAAAACATAAACCATATGTGCACTTTTTGAGGAAAGTATCTCTTCAAGAAGGGACTCGTACAGGTATAAAACAGTGCATGGACCACCCACCCACCCCCACACACACAAACACACCAGAGGTGTCTACGAGTTATCGTGTAACAGAAAAAAAAAAATTTTAAGGGAGTAAAAAAAATACAGGATGCAGCGTGGGAAAAAGGAATTCAGACACAAAACTACACGCAGGAATATAAAGCTCCCAGCAACTCCCGTTTCTCACTCCAAACTCCAAATAGGAGACAAGTACAATTCACTTGTGTGACAAATATACACCGCCCTATGAACGACACATTAGAGCAAAAAAAAAAAGATAAAAAGATAAAAATAAAACACAAACAGAAACAAACCATATAAACAGAAATCAGTTCAAGGCATTGGGAACCACAGAAAGGTCAAAGTCCTTTCATCTCTCACAGTTTTTGTTATCTCTTCAACTTTTCTTCTATCTGTTATATTTTTCTTTCCTCTCCACCTGAACCATTTTCCCCAATTTTTTTTTCTCTCCTTCTTACTTGTACAATAATGCAGTCCTATTATCTCTCTAATAACGTATATATATATATATATATATATATATATATATATATATATAATTTTTTTTTTCTTCTTGTTGTTGTTCGTCATTCCTATTTTAACTACTCTACCAGAGTGCGGTACGTTTGTGGCTCTGGTGTGCCATTGCCCGTCCGGTGCGTCGCTGTGCAGTGCGCTCCTCTGCAGCCTTCCAGCGCTCCTCCGTGATGCCGCGAAGTGTTGGACGTGGCGCCTCCAACGGCTGTGGCGCTCCAAATATGAAGTCCGGCATGCGACTGTGGCTGCTTTGATGGCAGCGGGCCTTTGCGCGGCGGAGGGCCTCCTCGTCGAGGCACGTGGCGGGGCGTGTCTGCGCCGTTGCCGGGCGGTGACCGAAACGCGGCGTCACCCGCACGCCCACCGCCGGCGGATCGGGGTATTCGTTCTTCGACAACTCCACGTGGTCCTGCAGCTGGCGGTGTGAGTGTAGACCGCTGCTGCGGGGCCGCTCCTGCTGCTTCGACTCCGCATTGCGGTAGTAGGCACTGCGGTGCACCGTCACGTTATCCGCACGCGGTGTAGATGCATCCAGTGCAAATGGCACTCTCGTCTTTATGGCCACAGCGGGCGACCCTAAGTCGTCTGAACGCTTCTGATCACGCAACTCAGCGCAGCGTGCGCTACTTCCCTGTGCGTACTTCTCCGATGCCACACGTCGCGAGAGACGCTCCTCCTCGTGTACAATAGAAGGATCTCCTCTATGCTGCAGTAGTTCACTCGCCGCTTGATTATAACGCGGGTCCTTCGCTATCTGCCGCAAGCGTGCCTCAGAGAGTTGCATAGATGTACTTATCGTCTTGCTGCGCGGGCCTTCACCACGCCGCACTGGCGCTGTCGTCTGTTGTCCCATTTCAACAGTAGTAGTACGATTGTTCCCAACCTGCAAATGTCTCTTGCCATAGCGCCCCTCTTCTCGTTTGGCATCGTCACTGAGATTCATGTGTTGTGGATCAATGTGTTTCTTGCCCCGCTGCTGCATCTCCTTTCCAAGTTCAAACCGCTGAGGATGAATATGCGGACGACTCTCACGAACCTCTACACCATACGCAGGTGTTATGCCACACTCTGAGTGCATTAACCGGTCTGAATATACCACGTTAGCATCATTTTTGATACCAGCATCTCCGTTGCTCTTAAACTCATTCATTCTATTATTGTTTATATTGTTGCTATCGCTATTATTTCTTCTGATGGGGTTCTGGTGGGTATCGCCTTTGTAATCTTTATCAATAAACATTATTACAAATACAAAAAAAACCAAAGATATAATTCGATAGATATCGTTAGAATTTAGAAGATTCTGTACACTACGTTTTTGTTTTCTTTCTTCTCAAAAAAAAGGAAGGAAAAGTGGAAAAAAAATGCAAAAAAAAAAGAAAAATAAGGAACAGTAGGCGTGTGTGTCTGTAATGTGTTGGCGCATGTATGCGTGTATATATCTGAAGGGAAAAGAGAAATAAAGAAGTCTCAAAAAAAGATGCAAGACTCCTGAAAACTGAAGAAGTCAAAAATAGGGAGAATGAATACAAAACAAAAGATATGTCACACATTCTAACACTATCTCTTCATTCCCTTTTTGTAGTCAAAGGGAAAAAAAAGGGAGGAAATCCAACAATAACAACAAGTGAAACCACATTTTTAACAAGGTAAATTTAAAAACAAAACAAAAAAAAAAAACACGTGTATCTCTAATCACTCTTTACTTCTCTTACTTTTTCCCTCTATCTTTATTTAGCAGAGGTAAGATGATAGTCGTTTTCGCACGGCTGCAGAAGCAATAAACTTTGCAGTTGCTGTCGCAGAGGCTCCCTGTCACCTTCAACCTCTGACAAACGTTCTTCTAACAGACGATTTACTTTCTGTAACGCCTCAGTCTTCTTTGACTCTACATCCAACGTTCGTTGCTGTAGCAACCACGCTTCTTGAAGTTCAGCAATTTTCTCCTCTAATTCTCGTATATGGCGGTGACAATCTGCAAGTTGTTGGGCAACTATATCAGAGCGTTCATCTGCAGCTGCACTTCGTTGTTCCTCTGTTAAAAGAGATTTCTGCAAGGTTTGATGTGATATCTGTGCATTCCGCAACTGTTGTTGCAGTGACTCAATAGTTCTTTCTGCTTTCCTTGCCCTCGCCGCCTCCTCATTCTGTCGTTCCTGTATAAGCACATTTGATGCCTCAAGTTGCTCACGAATTTCGTTTAACGCATGACTAGCCTTTGATTGTGATAAACGTGCCTCCTGTAGCTCCTGTTCGAGTCGTTCAATCTCTTGACGGTGCTGTTGTTGTTGCTGTTCCAGCCTTTCCCTGCGTCGTTCCTCCCGCTCTGATTGCAGATCTCCTACAGTGTTTCGCCACTGCAGCCGCTCCGCCTCCCACTCCCGCTGCCCGGCGGCGAGGCGGTGCTCGAGATGCTCCACGCGGGTGGCGAGTTCGTGGCAGCGCGCGGCGGCGTCGTCGGCCCGCCCTTCCGCCTCCCGCGCGGTTTCTTGGGCCGCTGTGAGCCGCGCTGCTGCGGCTGCCAACTGCGCCTCCAACTCCCGCTGGCTACTCAACACGTCGCCGGCGGGCCGCCGCACACGAACGGAACTCCCCGTGCCGGTCCGCTGCCCAGACCGCAGGAGGTCCTCCTCTCGCTGGTAACTAGCAGCACTGCGGCGCACCCGCTGGAACACCGCCGCACACGTATCCACATAAGCATCAATGATGCCACCGGACACCGCACACCACAAAGCATCTTCAGAGGCGCTGTCACACCGCTCCAGTCCAGCTTTAATAACACCGGTAAATTCACCTTCTTTCATTCCTGTATCATCCTTACCCTTGTTATTCTCACTCTGACTACTATTCTCTTTAACACTTTGAGGTTCAAAGGTTGTGTCAACTTCCTTTGGTGATTCTGAAAATAACTGGCGAAGTTGATGCAGAGACTCAAAAAAGTGAGTATAAGGCTGGAGTAACACTTGATCCATGGAGGTGGTTAAATCAGTGATGAATCGTTCAAGCGCAGAGGAAAATGACGTCACCGCTTGTTCCTTGTCTTGCCACACACCTTGCACAGAAGGAGGACTTAAATCATCCAACACTGGTGAAGTTGGAGGAGAAAGAGTACGACTAATACTTCGTCCAATGTCTTGTTCTTGTTCTTGTCGTTGTACTTGTTGTAGAGGTGATGATTTCTGAGGACTATGTAATGGAGGTCGTGGTGATACTGGAATTGGGGACAACCCAGATGGCTGCTGAACGCCTCCTGTAGGAGTTTCAGTTTCATGATTTGACAACCGAATTGCTAAATCCTCATTATCACGTGTGGAACTAGGGGAAGGAAATAACAATGAAGGATGCCGCTCTTCTTCTTCAAGAACAGCTAGAAGTCGTGCCGTTGATTTTTTTGCAGCTGCTTGCAATATTGAAGCAGCTCTTGAACATCTACGTGCAGGATTCGGTGGCATCATGCTCAAGCAATCTCTTATACGTTGTTGCTGATCGTTCAAACGTGTACGAAGATTCTGCATCTGAGTTTCTGCTATAGCTAAAGAACTCGCAAGAGATTCCGCATTTTCTCGTTCTTGCATCAATTCTGTCTCAAGTTCTTCATAGCGGTCAACAGGAACTGAAGAATCAAATGCCTCTTTTGCCTTTTGAGAAGAACGATGCAAAGCATCTTGTAACTTAGCTGCTCCTATTTCAGCTTCTCGCAACTGACGGTTAAGAGAAGCAATAGTTGCATCCTTTGCTTCCACATCTTTCATATACTGCTCAGTTATCAAATCGGACTCCCTAAAAGGGGATAAACTCTTAAGTTGTTCTTGTATCTGGGTTTTTTCTGTAGTTAGTTGGTGTACTTCTGCCTTGTAAAACCTTTCTTGTTCTTGTTGCTTCTCTACCGTCTCTTGTACCTGAGCTGTCACTCTCTCAAGCTCATCACGTGTCTGTCTAAGTTCGTCTTTCAGCTGTTGTTGTTGCTGATCTGATACCTGTTGAGTAACTTGAAGTTTTCCCCGCAATTCCTGCACTGTAACATTTATAAGTTCTATTTCTTGTTGTAGTCCTTCAGCGCGTCGGAGGGCAGTTGTTTCTGCATTACGTAGTCGCTGAAGTTCATCACGCTGCTTTTGCATTATGTTTTCCATTTCTTCTTCGTGTTGCTGCATCTGTCGATGGTATCGTGTCTTTCCATCTTGGACCGCTCGCTCCAGAAGAGAAATTTCTTCCTTTAATTGACCAACATCTTGTGAGTTTCTAGAACGAAGTCGTTGATTTTCCATCTCAAGTTCATCTATCATTCCTTGTAGTGCCCGCTGCCTCTGTTCCATCTTTAGTTGGATATCTTCTGGAGGGGATACTGCAGAACCTAGACGTCCTGTTGCTGTTGCTGTTGCCGTTGCCGCTGCTGCTGCTATGGCTGCTGCCTTCTCATCAGCACGCCATCGGTCAACTTCAGCTCGAAGAGAACGAATTTCTCGTTCTACTGCATTTCGTTCTTCTTCTAAACGTTCATGCAATTGGGACAACTCTAAAGCACCTTGGCGTCTTGCCTGCTCCAACTCTCGCTGTAAAGTTTCTTGTTCTATACGTTTTGCTTCTTCAAGTGTAGCGACACGCTGGAGAGCCTGCCGTCGTGTCTCTAAACTCTCTACCTCACGCAACTGATCTGTCTGTGCATCAAGAGACTGCACTTCCTCTTTAAGTGCCAAAAGTGACTGTCGTAGATGTTCATTCTCCAACCCTAGATCTTGAGCTTCATCAAGCGCAAGCTGTCGATCAGATTTCAATCGTTCTTGATCAGCTTCAGAGCGTCGCAGTCGATCTTCCATTTGCTGAAAAAGATTTGTTATTTCTGGAACGAGCCTTGAAGTTTCTTCTAGGGATTGAAGAAGCCAATCTTCCAGTTGTTCTACCATCCCACTATTATTAACACCATTCTCTGCGTTCAATTTCGTTGGAACACGCAACCGTGTAGGTGGTGAGAACGCCGTTGGAGAAAGAAGAGATTTCCTATTAATACGTCCTGATATCATAATAATATCCAACATTTGATTGTGCATCGCCACAAGTTGCGCAGCAGCACCAAGTAATTGAACAGATGGTTGCTGTGTTGCATCATATTGCCGCATAGATGATGATGTCCACTCATGTTGTTGTTGTTGGAGTTTTACTAAAGTATCTTGACACTCACGATTTGTCACATATAATTGTTTTAATTCCCGTTCCTGTTCCTCCACTTTTCGCCGTAATTCCATAAGAGACGTCTCTGCAACATGCCGTGCCTTTTCTGCTGTCTCAGCGCTTGCTCCGGCACGTCGAGCTACAATCACCGCCTCTTGAAGGTCTTGCTTCAGCGCATTATGAAGTTGCTTTTGTTCATCTAACTCTTTCTTTAATTTTTCATTACCAATGTGTAATTTCGATAGCTCTGTTTCGCGTTGCTGTAGTTGCTCCCTAAGATTTCTTTCCGTATTATGGAGATGTTGATTCTCTTGTTGCATTAACGATAGAACTCCCTTACCCTCGCCACGAGATGTCTTCACTTCTTGACGATGAGTTTGTCGTTGAATTTGTGCTACAGTTTCTAGAGCGTCGTCGCGCTCCTTTGCGAGTTGCGAACAGCGCAGCTGCAAGTGATCCATCTTCGCGAGAACCTCCTGTCCAACGTCAATGCATCGGCGCAGCTCTGTCTCCTTTGCTTCGATAACTGCAGTGTTGTGACGACAAAGTTGCTCATACTGCAGAAGCGCCTGATACGCATCTGGTGATGAACGTCGAAGCATTGATAGATCTTCTGCAGAAAAACTAGCCAATGGTGTTAACAACAGCGGTGATGGGCGCTTCTTTGATGTGGAGCGAAGACCCTCAGCATCGGGTGCAGCCACGTCACTACTGTTCAGCCCAGCGTCAGCCATCACACGAGCACTGTGGCGAGTGCCTGATTTCATTAGAGATGACAAGGCAAAACCTCAAAGAAAAAAAAAAAAAAAAAACCACGTAGAATAAATAAAGGAATGACAAACGAATAAAAGAAGGGGTAAAAAGAAAAAAAAGAAAAGGACGACAATACAGGTAAGAATGTACTTTCGCCGCTATATAGGTGAATGTATGTGTCGGTTATTTTGTACTTAACTTCCTGTGTGTGTGTGTGTGTATGTGTGTTTATGTATGTATGACAGACGTCTGTCTTGTCCCACACCCCTTTCCCACAACACTAGAGTGTGTCCAGGTACAAAAAAAAAAAAAAAACGCAAGAAAAGAAGAAAAAACAAAAAGAAAATAAGTGAACAGAAGAATCACATCCAGTAATAAACCCATAGTAAACATTTTGGTTTACATTTGTCACTGTAACCCCGTCACTCTTCTAGTTTTGATAATGCTTTTTTTTTTTTTCTCTACACTATATAAATCACACAGGTGTGAATCAATAAAAAAAAAAAGAGTAGCCTGAAGATTGCCCTCAATCACGGTCTACGATCATCTCTATTCTTTGTACTTGATATTTCTTTAATGTCTCGACAAGTTCAATATTCTTCACGTTGTTACTCTCATTTCATGTTTTTTTTCTTCTTCTTGCTTCTTTCATTGCAGTAGTAACTGTTACATCTTTTTTTTTTTCTTCTTGGAGGGTGGGGGGAGCGGGTGAAGAAGAAGAAGTGGTTCTCAATCGCGCAACCGCTGCGATTCTCACAACCCTCCAACCCCAACTCCCTCTTCCAAATCTCTCAAACTCTAATTTCCAGTGAGTACCAACATGTCTACACCGGTACCGCCCGCTCCGGCGCTTCCCATTACCTGTTGTATGTCATTATCAAGGGCATTAGGACCCCGCGGCTCCTCGGTGTGAATAGCGTGCAGTTTCGCCTCCAACACTCGTTTCAGGTTGTTAAACCATTCTACCTGCATCACATTTCCTTCATAATTTTCCTGAATATCTCGCTGTCGTTGTTGTAGATCCCGCAAACGCACTTGTAAATCTTCAATGGCGTGTTCAAACCCTTTTTCTGCTATGGGATTAACACCGTGTTCTTTGCTTAAATGAACCAACAACCAACCCCTTGATGGGCATGTCTTGCCACAGTACGTACAAGAAAAACTTGCTCCTGTAGCCGCCTGAGCACGTTCACCAGTTGTTGGACTATCTGTACCGCTACGAGTAATTTCTTCATACTCCCGTTCACCCTCCAGTCGATCCAACTGAGCAGTAAGAAGAACCTGTTGTGCCTGTAAGCGATGGTAGATAGATTCATTCACATTAGTTTCATCCCGAAGTACCTGTACTTCACGCTCCATTTTTGATATATCTTCCATAAGTACACCTTCTTGATACTCGTACTGTGATTTTTTTTCGAGCCATTCTTGGTCAACTTCTGACGCTGTTTGCCGCACCGTACGAAGTTCATTAATAAGAGGGGCAAGTTTTGTACGGCGTTCACGGATTGCCATAGTAAAATCTTGTACAACTCGTGAAAGTTCTTCAAGTGTTTTTCCCTTTAATTCTTCGATAGTATCCTTTTCGCGAGTTAGTTTACTCAGAGCTTCTAAAGTACGACTGTATCCCTGTAATCCGAGTTTTCCTTCTAAGTCTCCAATCTCTGCATCAAGGGCATCAAACTGACCTTTAAGAACATTTTCTGTAAATGTAAGTACTCCCCATTCTACACGCATTTCCGAAAGAGCTACTCGCATTCCTTCGCTTGCTGTTTTCTTTGCCAGTACTTGATTGGAAAAGGCTCGGAATTCATCACCTTTTAACATTTGGTGCGCCTCACGAAGTTGACTGATGCGATTCTCCTTATCACGTATCTCATTGAGTGCTCGACTGTTATCAGCCTGAAGGCTTGTTAATTGTTCCAATACTTCCTCTTTACGCTTCGTTACAAGTTGCACCTGTTGTTTGATTGTAGTAATTGTACTTCCATCTTCACCAGGTTTTTGTCTTTCTTTTACTTGTTGTTGAAGTGTTCTTAATGCATCATCAAGTTTTTGATTTTCTGTCGAAAGTGCTTGCATATCTAGAGGTTCAGAAATAAGACGATTTAGTTCTTCATTCTCACATTTTTTTCGTTCAATCTCTTTTGGCAATTGTTCCTCAAGAATAATCTTATTTGTTTGAATTTCATCTCGTAAACGACGTGCAATAACATTTACTCGACCATCAGCAGCATCACGACGAAGGTTTTGCAACCGATTATGCGTCTCTGTACTTCGTTGTTGAGCTGAAATGAGTGTTTGATGTAGTTCCACTCGCTTCTCCGAAAGTTTTGATTCTTCTTCAAGTGCTGCGCGTAGAGCTTTGCTCGCGTTGACGAGTGCCTCCTTATCTGGTACCCCACTGAGTTTTTTCTCCGCGCCCTGAATGTATCCTTTTAAACGATCCCGCTCTTCTTCAAGTGCAGCGACCTTTCGGCGTGCCTCAGCAGGATCCGCGTGTGCTTGGCGAAGTGCGTCAACACGGCGGTGTGTCTGTACAAACATTGAGCGGAGGTTTTCATATTGCTGGTAGAGGGCACGTACATCTTCATCCTGTGCCCGCATAGCCTCTGGTACATCAAGTCGTTGAAGAAAACGCGATAGATAGACACGTTTTTCGTTCTGTGCCATGTTTGAAAGTACCCAGTATAATGTTGGATAAATAACAGTGGTTTGAGCATTTGCAAAACCAGTGGGAAAACTTTCTGAGAGAAGCGGCGGTACACGGTAGCCGAGTGTCTTTGTGAGGAACTCAATCATACGTGAGACTGCCTCTTCAAGTGGCACTTCCTCAAGGTCCATTTGCTGCGCAGGAGAAAGTGTGCCAAATATATCGTTAACAATTTGCAACAGTGGAACTCCCTGAATGGCGTCAAAATCCACAAGTGAGTAGTGTCGAGAGAGCACCTTGTTTACATTGTCAACGATGTATTGTAGTACTTCTTCCTCTGTCAAATCTGATACAGGTCGTGGCTTGTTTGCACCACTAGCAGCAGTAGCAGCATTATCGCCTGAATAGGCTGCAGCAATTGAGGGGGTACTACCAGGTGAGAGTGCCATGGTAATGCCAAAGCCAGCAGGGCCTGATGTTCCATTGAAACTCATATTTTCTACCACCTCTATTCCCTTCTTTTTTTTTTTTTTTTTACTATACTCCCTCCTTCTTCTGGCTTTTTTTTTTTAGTTTTGCTTTCTATTTCTTTTTCTTACTCTTCAATTCTCTTACTTTCTCCCCTAAGCTATTTTCAATAATAAAAAAAAAAGAAAGAGATAATAACGTCTCCTCCTATATAAATATTATATATGACTTTTTTTGTTTTTCCGCACTCAGGTCTGAGAAATACAAAAAAAAGAAAAAAAAAAACAGCAGTATTTGTTCGGTTTTCTACACCATTCGGTAGACTAAGGAGACATAAAAATACACAATACCAGAGAATAATATCAAAATCACCCTGGTGGGTATAAAAAAAAAAGAATATATATATATAAGACAAAAGCAAATCTGATGCCATGCAACCACATATTATGAATACACACATGTGTGTATATTTCTTCCCTTTTTTTATTGCGGGGAAGGGAAAGGAAGAAATGGACCATGTACAATGGGCGTCTTCAACTTTTATTCTCTCTTTAACTGTAACAACCGCCACTCTAAATCATCACGTGGTGTCGTTAGCGCTGGTATTAGTAAACCGGAAGGTGTTTTGATAACATTTCCGGATGCCACCGCTGCTTTTGTCTCCGCATCATTTTTCCATGCGGCCCCATTATCACCTATCACAGCCCCACCGGATGCGGCGGCAGCAGAAGCGACAAGTCCATTTGGGTCTCGCAATTTGTCCACGTCATACCCCTCAACCCCATACTCTGTCGCAACATTAGTTAGGTACTCCAAGCAAGAGGCGTTGGATGGGGTAAAGACACCGAGACGGTCAATAATTTTCTGATTTACTGAACACTCCGTATTGTTCACACTCACCACGATAAATTCTTTACCGTACTTATTCTCAAAATATTTCTTTACAGTCTGTAACTCAGGTACAGAGTCTCCTACACGAGCAGTGGCCCACAGTACTGATGTGATACTCTCCTTTAACTCTGGCGGACAGTGTCCCGCGCCACTACCTTTCTCTGTGAGAAGCTGAATGCGGTTCGCAATAAGGTCAAGAAACAGCGCGAGTACTTCAAGACCTTCAATGCTCACATCATCACGGATCACCTGTTCCACTCTAATACGAGCGGCATCGTACTTTTGTAGTGCGAGTAGCTCCGCTAGTTGTCGTCTCTGAATCTTTACACTGTTCACCAATTTATTCTGTTGCATACGCAGACGCGTCACAGCCATGCGGAGGTTTGCCTTCAGCTTGACTGGGTCAATTCCAGATGTTTTCTTGGAAAAAAAGGACCTCATCACTATAACTCTTACTAATATTACTACTACTTTTTTTTTTGGCGAACGTAAGCGATTTACTTACCCTTTTTTCCTCCAACTTTTAAAAATGTAATTATCAAATGCGATACCCTTTGCAGTAAAAAAAAAAAAAAATAATAATAATAAGGGAATAAAAATGAAGAACAATTCTTTTTTTTCCACCTCATGTTACTACCGTTAGTATGTTAGGAAAAAAAGAAAAAAACATCATTAACACAAGTCCAAACAGAAAACCTGTAAATGATTCGTTGCGATGATTTCTTTTAATTCCCTTCCCTACCCCCTTATTTACCCCTAATGCAAGCATTTAAGCATAAGAACCAGATTGATAATAAATTCCAAAAGAAAAAAAAAAATTAATAATAACTCATCTTCAGCACGTGCACTCCGCAATGAAGAAAAAAGTCAGTATGGAAATCACCGTACAAATTAGTATATACTTTATATCGACTCTCTTACATCATCTGCGCCCCATTGAACCAAAAATTTGACTTCACCTCTTTAATGAGTACACCACCACCATCACAAGTAAACGTTCCTTTTGTTCTTGCACTTGTTGTTCTAGTTGTTTCACACATGCCGAGCTGTATGTACGTGCAGAGACAACGCTTTGAGGACACTCACCGGTAGTGTGCTCCTCGTCAAGTTAATCAGGAATACCATAACGGCCCCTTCCTTTTCATTTTTTTTTTTTTTTACCTACGGCACTAACATAATATCATTGTGAAGCTATTATGAAAACATGAAAACGCATACACAAATATACGTATATTTACAATAAAAAGAAAAAAAAGATGATCAATTTCACAAAATGCGTCAGTATAAATATAAAGATATAAGTCATCAGATAGCATGCCTATGAGGAATTCGTAAATATAATACGAGAATAGGTTTCCTCAGTACCTCACCATCGCCGTCGCAATACGGTACTAGGAGGAAAGAAGAAGAAGAAGAAAAAAAAAAACGAATTTCAAACACAGTCACATGTACATATACACACGTTTGATCGCAAAGAGCCTCCCCAGAAACACACATACGAACGTATCTTTAAAAAATACATACGCAGAAATACGCACAACAAAAAAAAAAAAGAAAAGGGAAGGGGGATGTAAATACCAACGTGGAAAGAAGAGAAAGAAAGAGAAAACGAGAAAAGGAGGAAGTTTGACGTGGTGTCAATAACCGCCCCTCCCCCTAAAAAAAAAAAAAAAAAAACATTTCTTCTTTTTTTTTTTTTTACAGCGAAACAGGGTTATTGTACAGAAAAAAAAAACAGATGATAATGCCGAGAAAGTACTCGGTCCGTCATTTCCTTTTTTTTTTTTTTTCTCGCCTCTTGATTTCTCTTTACTCCTCTAACGGGGGTAAGTCATCAAAATCCTCATCCTCGTTCTTTGTATTCGCGTTACTATTACAGCTATTGTTGTTATTCTCCTTAACACCTACCCCTGTTGAGTTCTCGTCAAGCGCAAGGTCATTTTCGTCAATGTCCTTTTGGGACATCATCTGCGACATGAGCTCTTCGTAATTTACGCCGAGTCCGTCCTGTCCATCGACCCCGCTTGGATCCTCCTCATCCTCATCATCGTCCTTCCAGCGGGTCCAGTCGACCTGAATGCGTGTATTGCGGGACTTGTCCTCTGTGAGGCGTGGCCATGCCCGTGAGAATTCAAACTTCTCCTTCTCTTGCTTTCCCTCCTCTTCATTGGTGGGGGGTGGTCGCTTGCGGAGCTGCAGCTCGACCCCGCGCGGGAGGGTGGCGTGGCGGCTCTCCTCCGAGACGACGGGGGCAAACAACGGCAGTGCGCAGCCGTACCGCCGGCCGCCCGCCACCGCGTGGAAGTGCAGCACCCGCCCGTCGCGGATCTCCACCGACACGTCCGTCGCGTCCGGCAGCGGGATCGACACAAGAACGTACTCCGGCCGCTGCGCCCACAGAATCGGGGGGAACACCTCGTCGCCGCTCGCAGACATCACAACCACCACCAATCTCTTCCACCACTCTCTATGCAGATCAAGTGTACCCTCCACCTCACGTTAATCCCTCAATAAACGTGTAACGTGAGTGTAGACAATAACCTTGGCTACCACCGCAGACTTCAATCCTTTCTAATTTTTGTTTTATTTTGATTACGAATAGGGTATGCAAACAGCGAAAAATACCACAAAAAGAGGAATAATAAAAAAAAAAAAAAGAAAAAAGTAAAGGGAAAGAAAAATCATTATATATATATATATATATATATATATATATATATATATTCACAGTGCACAATATCCAAAGCAATAAGAACAAAACACTGCTAACAAGAGGGGAAGCACAGAAAAAAAAAAAATTCATTAAGAAGAAAGCGTCGAAAAAAAAAAAAAACCCATTTACCCACTCTTCTTTCATTTCACTCACCGAATATTTTTGCCTCAATTGTTAAACAGTGTAATCGATCAGTATCCATCCCCTCCTACTAGGTTAAATTCCTAGCCTCTTCGTCACGCGTGCGCATAGTCTCACGGGACAGATGAGGAAAAAAAAAAAAAAAATTTTTTTGACACGAGCACAAAAGGAAAAGAAAAAAAAAAAAAAGAAGAAAAAAAGAATATAGGAAAACATTCACGAGATATATTTCTCACACTCGGCCCTCCCATTGAAACCACACTGATAAGCAAAAATAACACAGATAGAACCATTTTCATGGTTTCGTTTGTATGTTTGTGTGGAACAACGGTGAATGTGCCTTGGTGCTGGGTTGAATACCCGACTCAAAACAAAAAAAAAACAATGACAAAAAAAAGGCATAAAAGCAAAATAAAAATAAAAAAAAACCTTTAAAAAAAGAAATACATTTCTCTCATCCTTTTTCACTCTATTTGTACCTTCTAATACTACTCGGCATGCGTGTGCTCATATATTGCATACTTGACATTTATTTTTTTCCTTCGAATCCCATATATTTTTTTTTGCTCAGGGAACAAAATAAATAGAGCTAACTCCTGATTTTTTTTTTTTTCTACACTGGTCTGTATTTCTTTCCAGTGAACTTAGTGGCGAAACCTGTCACTTCACCTGAAACGAAAAGTTCAGTAGCAAGTGGCTCAACTTGAAGCATGTACACCTCGCCAAGATCATCATCCTCTCCTGTCGTCGTTTTACCCATTGGAGTAACTTTAGAGTCGTTGTCGAAACGGACCTTTACAGTGAATAAGACATCCTTTGTGTCATTGTAGAAACCCCACATATTGTTTTGCTCATCCACGAGACGGAAAAGAAGACCATTACCATTCTCTTTAAAGCATTTATAGACTTTATCATAGTGAGCCATGACATGTGCGTCAGGTCCTTCGTTTTCGAAGGCAGGGTTTTCTTCGTGTTGAGTCTTCGTTACCGGTTCTGCATAAAATGACATGTGGTAGTTTCCTGGATTTCCAGTAAGGAAAGGTTCTGTTGTGAGAGGTGGAACCGTGAGAACGCAAACGGTACCTCCAGCCACATCAGGATCAGGAGACACTGAAACATTCTGTGCCGCTTCATAGACAGACTTGGGGCCAAACTTCACTGTTGCCGTTATATTGTATTCCGTTGTATCGTTATAGAATGCCCACCTCTTATTTTCATCATCAAGAAGAAGAAATATAAGGCCATTACCCTTATCTTTAAAACCCTTAAAAACCTTGGAACCTGGGTAAAGGACAACTTCAGGGTTTGGTGAGCCGTTCTCAAAAACAACTTCATAATCTTCCAGTGCCTTTTCATTATCCATTGGATTTGCCACAAACGACAGATTATAATCATGAGGATCACCGCGAAGAAATTCCTCGGTGCAGAGCGGCTTTACTGAAACCTTATATACTGCCCCATTCTCGTTATCAGGTGCGTCTTCCACCCGTACATTCCCCAACGGTTGTACGCAGTCCTTGTTGGCAAATGTAACTTCCACATCCATTGTGAAATCCTTTGTATCGTTGTAGAAACTCCATGTGCGCTCACCCGTTTTGGGGTCCTCTGAGACAAGACGAAAGAGGAGTCCATTACCGTAGTCCTTAAGACACTTGTAGACCGTCTCGTACTCCACTGTAGGGGCACCATTCTCGAATTCCACACTCTCGGCTGGCATAGCCTCACTGGCAAAGTTCACCTCGAAGCCCTCGACGATACCTTCCACGAATCGCTCCGTACGGCCCGGTCCCACTGTCACACTGGCGTTGTAACGCCAGTTGTGATCATCTGTCGCCTCAACAATTTTTGTGCGGCCAAGCGGCTTCAGGTCGGAGTTGGGGCCAAACTTTGCATTAACGCGGAAGAACAAGTCTTCTGTGTCATTGTAGAAAGCCCACTGCTTCTTGTCATTTACAAGTCGGAATAGAAGACCGTTATTATCACCAGAAAAACAACGGTAAACCTTTTCGTAGGGAAATCCGGGGGCTCCGTTTATAAAGGCCACGTCACATTCATTCACAAGTTCGGTCATTTTTTTTTCTGTCTTTCTTTTCTTTTTTTTTTTCGGTGATATGAAACCTTTCTTTGCTTTCTTTTCCTATATTCTTTTTCGGTGTTTTATTCTTTTTTTTTTCCTTCTTGTATGAACTCACTTTCTAATTCTGCTGTTACTCACGTACAAACGTTACTGAAGTACTTTTCTCTTGATCTTGTGCAGTCAACTAAGAGGCAAGTCATTGCAAATAATAATAATAATAATAATGAGGAAAAGAGAAAAAGAGTATAGCAAGATAACATCGATACAACTTACGAGACTGTAAGCGAACATACCAGTGAAATAAAAAAAAAGCGAGTGAAGGAGATAAAGAGGGGGAGATGGCACAAAAACAAAAAGTTGGTGTTCGAATTACTGGGTGAAATAAACAAAAAAAAAAATTCCAGAAGCAAAAAAGAGGACACAAAAAAGTATCAGCCTAATATTTCAACACCAGAATAAGACTGACTTGTAATGATACCGAGAACACAGAAGAGAACCTATCGTCGTCGCCAAGTCAAACCAATGGAGAAGAAAAAGCCATAATTTTTTTTTTATTTCTGTTTACTCTTGACAAGAGCTTCCTGAAGATCCCTTTCATACTGATTGAGTTGCTGCTCCCACTTTTGCTGCAAATTTACTTCAGTAGATCCGCTTGGAGGGAGTAGAAGTGACCTTACCTCCAGCAGAACATCACGGCGCTTCTGCATGCGCACCACCTCATTGGCTAACGCGATTGTTTCTCCACGCATTCGTACCCAATTACCCCACATTTTCTCCACTTCTGTCTCACGGAAATGCTTCGTTTCAGTAGCAAGTGAGACAACCTGCGACCAGGACATTGTACCATTACTATCTGTATTAGAGGCGAGATGAGCTGCCAACGACGGTGCTACAGATTCCCATTGTAACTCATCGTCTTGTTTGGTCTCTTTCACTGTGGTGACTACTTCTTCTGATGTAGCAACAACCTCTTTTTTCTTACACTCTTCTTCTTTTTCTGTTTGTGTTTCTTTATCCTTTTCTTTTACGACCAACTCTAACGGTGGGGGTAATGATCCGTCCACCGGTACAGCTGGTGGAATGTGTGGTCTAACAAATGAAGGATCCCAATGAGAGAGAAAGTTTTTCACTACATTAACATATTTTCTGTACTTCACCATATCGTCAGCAGCATGAAGTAAAATATTCTGCGTTTCTTGAAGATTAGATAGGTATGACGTCTCTTGTTGTTGTAATTCCAAAGATTCCAACTGCTCGGTAAGAAAGGGTAGCACCACAATAGCGCATACACTCACTAAATCCCCAATAAAATCTACAAAATCAGACGTGTTGTCGTACGGATCCTGCAGAGAAATAATTCCTGTACCAAGTAATCCCAAAACTGTCATCGCCCATTCTACAGAAGTACCATTTTTGCATTTATTTCTATTCAGAGCAATATTGCGTTTACTGCCACTACTACGCAATTGCCATCCGTGTTCTTCTCCACCATGGCGTGAGCGTGGTGTTGTACATCCCGTAGAGAAAGCGGATGCCGTTGAGGCACTTCGCCCATGTCGTACAGTGTTGTTATTCCATAGCGAAGGAAGAGGAGCATAGTAATAAAATCCATTTGATGATAAACAGTTGCAGCTTTTATCATTCACTTCGGTAGTACCAATATCATCCATTCCATCACTGACCAAAGCAGTGTGCGCACCACTTGCGAGATGCCGCATGAGTGTAAATTCTTCCTGTAGCGTATGAAGAAGAAACCTTTGCAGTGTACCACCATAAGAAGATGAAGAAGAAGAAAGAAGTTGTTCTGCATCTCTACAGGAGAATGATCCCCGCTCCATCAGTGTCTGTGCACAGCGTAGGTAATTGTCTATCCGTACACGCTTTCGATGTGAGGGTGATGAAATATTATCACCACCATGTATAACCGGTGAAACTGAAGATGTCATTGCACGTTCCTGTAAGTGCCATTGTGTAGCTGTATACCCTAGTAAACTCACCATGGTCATAATCTCTTCATGTATTTCTGCCTCTACTAATCTTCCAGAAGGCAAGAGGAGAGAGAAACGTTCAATACCCTCAATAACATAATCACATGCGGACTTTGTTGGAATAGTTTCGATCACATTATTATCTTTGGCATCATCTGTTGCAGAAAGCAGAAGTACACCTACACGAGCCGCTTCATACAGAGTTGTATTATAACCATCAGGTATAGTAGATAAAGGCGCTTCACATTTTGATAAAATAGTAGAATATGTTTGAGCGGCTTCTAAAAAGAGTAAGGGGTTCTCTATATTTCTTGAGCATTGATTTATATTCATCTCTAGAGCATCTGTAACGAAGAGACGGAGGCGCTGCAACTCCACTGTGAGATCCGCACATTCTACTACTACCATCAGCTGGCTTTTTTTTTCTTTTATTAAAAAAAAAAAAAAAGAGGCTGGGGCTGAGAGCCTATACATAGAGAGAGAGAGAAAGAGAGATAAAATACTTCCGGTTTACACGTACAAAATAATAAAATCCACAATAATAATAATAATAATAATAATAATAATAATAATAATAAAACACAAATATATGTATATGTATATATATTCCAAGGAATATAAAATAAAAGGGAAATAATTAAAGCAACGTTCGCCTTCTTCTCAAATACAGGTATTATATATCAATCCCAATCCTGCATATCGAACCGCGATAACTCATTCATCAAGTCAACCTTCGCTGACTCTGACTTGACTAATTTCTCATCAATATACCATTCTTGTTTATCCAATGGTTGTAATGCCATCTTACGCAGACGACCTGATCGTTTCTCCTTTAGCTCTTTAGCAAACAGATTACGGTAATTTTGTAAATTTCGTCGTACCGTATGCAGTTCGGACTGACTCAACTCATCATCACCGTGCAAATTATTACGTCTCATAGGAGGGATGGTATGACCAACAGCCAAAAAATTTTGTTCATGTGTAACTCCTGGCGTTGATATTGTACCTTTTTCTAATCCTGATGCTGTTATCACCTTATTACCACCAAAAAATTCTTCTTCTAGATAGGAATATGAAGGGGTAACCTCTGTCCAGTGATGTGCTGGAGAAGGTGCATTTGCTGGAATATACTCAGTAAACTCAAAACTCTCTTCATATTGAAGAGGCTCAGTTGTTCTACCATTATTAGAATGACTTTTTTCATTAACATTGTTGTGATCCCCATTATAGAAAGTATCGGTATTTTTGCTTAATTTCTTCTTACGTAGTACAAGAAGATCTATCATCTGATGTACCTTGTAAAAATCCTGTAATTCACGCTCTATACGCTTATGAAACTGTGGATGGGCAAATGCGCGAATGTATCTCATATCCTGGCGATGTGTTGCTTCAGAATCATCAAGCATTTCTTTAAGTGAATAGCGCCGACGTAGTACCAACTCATACGATCCCTCCAAAGTCGTAACAACAACATCCCCAAGAGGCATTACTGGGGTAACACCAAAACCACCACTATCCAATAGAGGTTCTAATGAAGTATATTCCAAGATAGACTTCGGATCAAAGGTTCGAGGTAGAATAAAAGCAACGTATCCACCTTCCTTTATTAATGGTATTTTTCGTCGATGCTGTCGTGAGGAACTATTATCCATTTCATTTGAAGAAACAAATAGAAGCTGTTGCAGTATTTCACGTAAAACTGGCAAAGAAGAATGTGGATGTGATATCCCTAAATCACTTCCCGCAAAATCCCTAGAGTTAAATGCATCCTCCAAAGAAGGCCATGAAGGAAAGAGGGGTTTTGCTGGTGGGTGGAAAACGAGAAAATCAACAGGATCAAAATTTTTTTCCTTTTCCACAGAATCCGGATCAACGGCGATGTTGTGCTGTCTTGCTTCACGTCGACGACGTTTAGCAGCAACAGTCAAGACACTCTCTTTCAATGGAGTACCCCCGTTTTCCTTTGGTGCTACAGTCTCCCACTCGGGTAAAATATCACAACGCATAAAATGTACTCGTTTGGCTACATGACCCGTACTACGCCGCTCCTGTAAGTGTTCGTGTACTGTCGCCTCTGCACTTCCAAGTGTATGTTTTGAGACATCAACACCCACTATATGATGAGCCCCAGCTTTTAAAAGAAGATCTGTCATATACCCACTATGACAACCACAGTCAAGTGCCGTAAATCCCGTGTTACTACCCGTAGACGCAGCATTCTTCCATGATGGTGGGGTAAAGGTCTCTAAGGCATTCCATATCCGCATTGCCTCATCTCGTGAGGAGAACGGTTCATTAAGAAGACCACCGCAATCATTAGTATCTTCATTATTTGTATTAATGTGTTGACTGGTGTTATGTCTGCGAGGCTTTGTGTGCAGCATCCATTGTAGCAAGTGTACATATGGCATCTGTTCGGCGTGTGTGGCGGGGCAATAAGTATTGTGCCATGGATGCAGCAGATAGCCACCGCGATGCCACTCGCCGCCCCAACGCACTCCGCGGTGGTATCGTCCAAACGACAAGACGAGCCGCGTGAGTTCCGCGGCGGAGATGAACTCCGCGGTGGGCGGCACGGCGGCCTGCAGCCACGCGCCGAACTCCTCGACGGCAGTTAACTCCGCGTGGGCCCGCGCGAGTCGAGCGGCGAAGTCCTCCACGCCGCCCACAACGTCCCGCGGGAAAAGAACCGTCGTGTGCACCGCCGCCACAAACCGCACGGCCGCCTCGTGCACCGCCAACAGCGTGCGAGCCCCGCCCATCTCCTGCCGCAACAAACGAATGTGTTGCTGGCATTCCCCAACGCCACGACAGACAACAGGGGAACGGTGTGAATGATGGTACGAACACCGCTGATGCTGCTTCGGGCAGAGCATCAGAGAGTGGAGACGGCAACTGGCATACATCCCCACAGCGCAGAATTGCCGTCTCGGCAATAGCATACTACTCTCACCCACCTATACACAAACCCAATAACCTCTTTTTTCTCTTCTCTTCCACCTCTCACTCCCACAAAACACCATTGAAATGAGAAGAGAGATAACAGCAACAACAAAACCCATAACCGAAAACGCAAAAATAAAAAAAGCAGAAGAACAAATAATTAAAAAAAAAAAAAAAAATGGCAAAAAGCAAACCCCACTTAGACGTATACTTACCAAAGGACTCAAATACTAAGAAAAGTTGCACCAATCCATTCATTCATTCATTGTTTCGAATACCTTTTTAATCGAAAAAAAAAAGAACAGGGTCAGGGAATTTCAACAGTTATCAACGATTACGTCTCTTTCCCTTTGCCGTTTTTTTACCATGTCCTTTCCGTGAGTGTTTCTTGATCTTTCGAATTTTTTCTAGCACCTTTAGCGTTTGCGAGCGCGGCTTTGTCTTAGCGGCTCCTTTAGTTTCCTTCTTAAGCCGTAGTAGTTCCTGTTCTACCACCTCAGGAAGATCGGAAAAGTCATTAGACGGCAGCGCAGAAGTGGTTCTCACACTAGTACCAGTAGCATCTGTGTAAGTTGCAGTTGGCTTTCCAAATAGTGGTTTCACTTCCACAGTTACGTAATCATCATCTATGCGATTGCTGCAGTGAGAAATTGATGCTGATGGTTCTGTTTCATCGTTTTCCCCTAGCATGGTGCTCGGCATAACATGTACTGTCTTTTCTGCTGCTAGAATACGGCGACGTTTGCTGTTTCCTTTCGCGGCAATAGTAGTGGTAGTGTCTCCCTCTAAAGTTTCATTATCCAGCATTACACCCTGCTCCTCATCCTCATCCTCCCCTTCTTCACTGATATCATCTTCATTTTCACGTGGCAACTGGTACGTGAAATTAGGCAAAATAGGAACTGCGGCAAAGCGGTTATAGGCTTGTCGTGCCTCCTCGCGTTGAGCACGACGTGTCTTTGCATTTTCACGCCTCATTTTTTGTTTTGCGTCGACGAACGCCTTTACACGCCGTTCGTTCTTGCGCTTGTGCATCGTTAGAAGGAACTCGCGTCGGGAGGTATCATCAAAAACAATTGCCTTCACTCGTCTACCATTTTTGTTGCCGTTGTTGTTCTTGCTAGAATCCCTACCTGTAAGTTTCTTGAGTTGCTTCCGCTGATAATTTTCATAACGATCAACTTTGAATCCCTTTTTTTCTTTTTTTTTCTTATCACTGCTCTCACCTGCATACGAACCGCTGTTCATCCCGCCAAACAGGATAGTACACCAACACACAAACACACACAAAAACAGACACCTTTACACCTTATGAATGAGAAAAGAAAACACACACAGAAATATATTTCTTTTCTATTAGTAGGGGGAGAGGAGAGGAAGGGTATAGAAATTTTAAAGTAAATGACGAAACAAAAGTGAAAAAATAAATGCAAAGAGACAACGATAATAGAAAAATAAACAGTAGTCTAACTAGATACGCCAGGCTCATTTAAACATAAAGACAAAAGAAAATTGAAGAGAAGCAACGATGCAAAAAAAAAAAAAAAAAAAAAAACAATCTATCTCATACCTTTTCTCAAAAAAAAAAAAAAAAAGTAAGCAAAAAAAAAATGGGGGAGGGGCGGAAATAGGTTATCCTAGTCTCTGGAAAAATTATATAGATACATTTTCGAAGAATAACCTCACTGGTTATTGCCAGAAGAATTTTATTTTGAAAAAAAAAAAAGTATTGATAAAAAGGAAGTACTAAAAGATCTCTTAACCCACCTTCTCCCACGCAAGAAGGAGAAGAAGGATGAGGTTGAGTAGGTTGTCAAAGCTTACATTTTGCCATGATCAGGATCAAGGTAAATTCGAGTGAAATACCAGACTATTTAATTTCAACCAAAAACGAAAGTATAGCCATCCCCCTCGCAATCTTCTTCCCTCGCCACGTTATCATCACTCTCCCACCACCAAAAAAAAAAAAAAACTCATAAAGAGATTAGACATAGAGAATCAAATAAAAAGGCAAGACCCGTCATCTTCTCCAAAATACTCATAATTGTGCCTTTACAGAGTGGATATATTTTCTCACGACAAAAAGAACAAATAACATGAAGCCCTCGTGGTGTGTAAAAAACATATTTAGACATTTTCCTCGTAGAAAACAGTACCTCAGTGCCGTGGAAACGCGTCAGATACCTTTACCCACACGAAATGGGATTCCACGCACACAAAACAAGAGAAAAAAGAAAAAAAAAAAACAGAAAAAACAGAGAAAAAGATGAGGAACACGCTATCATTACCTGTTAACTACTCTCTCTCTCTCTCTCCCTCTCCGTCATGTTCCCTCCCATCTGTGACAATGAAGCGCCACCGTCAGTATTGTGTACGGCCATGTAGGTGGAACTTGCTAAAGACTACCCACTCATCCCATCTTGTACGTGTAGTCAGCGACATAATTAGACTAGAGGGTATGCAATTACACCAAACAGGTAACCTCTTGTGCCTGTAACCACCGCCGTAACAACCAGTATAAATTTCCATCTGAAGAATAATGGTCACATCTGGCCTCAGCAGATATCACATAAATGCAGTTACAGTCAAACACACACAGTAGAGAAGATTGGCATGAATAAAGACACAATATTATCACTATCCCACAAGTTGCCTTTCTTTTTTACCACAATAGTGGGGAAGAAATAAAAAGTAAAAACAGTAAAGACGTCTTTACCAACATCTATCCAATGGAAATTTTCTTCTTCTTTATGGAAAGAGATCAATCAAATTCACATATCCCTCGATGGCATTTTTGCTCCCCTTTGTTATCACCTAATACATAGAAAACATTACTTCATCACAAACATGTTCGCTCTTCCCTTCGTCATTGACGTTGCTTGTTGTTGTTGTTGTTGTTGTTGTTGTTGTTGTTGTGTATACCCCTTTATATTTTGCTTTTTCTGTTTACTACATTCAATTCTAGGTCCATCTGCGATCAAACCTTTTTATTTCTAATCTTTTCTTTCTAGTACACTATTTTAGTGATTTCAGATGGTAGACAAAGGTGCGTATGTCCATTGGACTTATTGTCACGGTTTTTACGTCGGTTTTTACCACTTCAACTGTTGTTAACGAAACCTCATCAACACTACTAACAGTACACCATGGTACTTTAGCTATCAGTGCCAACAACTCCACTTTCACATCTACAGAGCGTTCAGGATCCTCACCAACGGCATATCGGTGTCCAAGACGTAAGAGAAGCGTTTGATTGTCAAAAAGTTGCATTGTAAGAATCTGTAGACTTGGAGGTAAAGCAGTTCCAAAGTCAATTTTAAGATTCATCCTTTTTTTTAATGAGGATAATGAAAACGGTGACGATGACGATGCAGATGAGTACAATACAAGTGGTTCATAGTACTTTTCATCCTGCTGTTCACGCACACGACGCATTGCTGTTGGGCCACTCTTTGTCACTGCAAAAGAGAGTGTTCCACGGACATGCAGTGGTGCGCCGTAATGACGGCCACAATTCAGTCGAGAATAGACACATCCTTTGTAGCTCGTGATAAATTCAGTTTCGTTCAGCGGTTCCCCTACTCCCTTATCATCATCCCGAAGAAGGCGCCGATGCACTGTGAGAAGCACTTCACCACTCTGGAGACTTGCACCACCCATTGAAGCATCTGGAAAGACACTGAACTGTGTATTTGTATCGTTAATAAAAATCAACGATGTCACTGGGTAGTAATTTCCAGCCACTGACTCTGTTTGTACAAAGGGAAAATCATTACGGTAGTTTATGCGTCGTTTCTGCATCTCACGTCCGTTACTGTCAGTGTAGAATGTATCCCTATTCTCAACAGAGGTGCGAAATCGCACAACCAATTCGCGGCCAAATCCATCATCGATTGGAATACCAAAGGAAGTAAACTCCAAATCAACAACATCTCCGCGAAGTGTCATTCGTTGCACAAGACCGTTACCAAAATGCTGTTCCACAATCCCAATGGTTGAGTCCACAAGACGTATATTCACTGGAGAATTTGTAATTGGATCACATGTGCCGTTAGTGACAGGACGCATAATATATGCACCACCTGACATACGGTCTACGATGTCCCCTGAATTGCTTTTATAATAGCACCAATCCTGTACTACTTTTACAGTTTGCCCAGTCTTTCGTACAGTAACACGCTCAAGCAAACCATTATCACTAAATGTTAAGAGAAGATCATCATTAGATATTTCCGTTATCGAACGTATACTTTGCGCCTTTGCTGATAATGGAAATATACCAGATGCAGAAAAGGAGAAAACAGGTTCTCTGACAACCTTTAACACTGCAAAACGCTTCAATTGTAAATTTATGGCAAGTGTGTAGGGTAGTCGATCCGCATTTCTATTTGAATAATCACTAACCTCCACGGGGGAATCAAAGACACTGTATTTACGAATACCATCCCCAGTTACAAGAACATTAGATATCGGAACGGGAATCTTTACAAGACTGTTTGCAACAGGATGAGCATTTGGGTTCCACACGATAACAGTGATCACATCATCACGCTTTGCAAATCCTACAGCTGTTGCCGGACACACTGAAACATTTGATAAAAGACAGTGTTGTACATTACTAATGGCAAAAGGTTCGGATGCAAATGCTCGGCGTAGACGATTCACCATATCATCCTCATAACCGTTTATAAGTCTCTTAATATAGTCAAATGTAACATGTTGTTTCGCGGTACCAGTAACAGCATCGTGATGTTGTGCAATACCAAGGGCATCACTTATCAATGGTACCTCACCTGAGGGAATTGCCGCAAAAAACTCCACTTGCCGTGCAGCGAGCCAATAACCACTCAGTTTACGTATAATTCGTTTTAAAGTAGGTCGTGATGCAAAGTAGCCTGTCCAAAATTGATGTGGAGCACTCGCGTATGGAAAGAAATCATCTCTCTTGGTATCATACAAAAGACCTTCTTCTGCTTCCTTCAACTTTGCAAGTGTATATTCATATGGTGTGGAGTAGCGTACTGAAAATTCCCCATCATCGTTAACGAGTTTAATCAATTTATCCATATTCTCATACCATAAAGCGCTTGAAAAGTAGGTGAAATCACAACCCATGGTCCACATAATGTGTTTGCCACGTGTTGCATTTATATTACGTCGCACCTCTGCTTTAAAGCGTTTTAGTATGAGTGGGACGTTGTAGCATTCTGATTTATTGTCGTCCACAATGGTTTTTGAACATGTAGTGTCATTTGAGTCTGGCCAGTAGTTCAATATATCCCAGGAAAAGTCTGGTGGTGTGCAGTACGTTTCTCTAAGGTTAATCTCTGCAAAGACGCGTAGATGTGGGAGTGAGGGACTTGGCTTCCACCAGAACTGTCTCCTGCCTGTGCCGGCGCGGTGGCGGTAGTCCTGGTAGTCCACGCGGGCAAAATACGTGGCGATGAGACCGGCGCGTGCGGTGAGGATTGCCGCCTGAGTGGCGCTGTGGCCGAAGGCGTCCGCCTGCCAGCCGACGCGGGGGACGACGCCGAGTTCGCGCTGCAGCCAGCGGTGCCCCAACGTTGTCTGGTCGATCATGTCGAGCACGTGAGCGGCCGCCTCGTCGTGCATCGACCACCCGCCGTTCGCGAACTGCAGGCGCCCCTCAGCGACAAGCGTACGCACGGCGGCACGCGTGGGGGCCGGCTGCTCCGCCCACCAACGCGAGAAGAAGCCCATCTCAACATAAGTGAACCGACGCTCGGGGTTCAGCAAAAGACCACCAACAACACTCGAGATAACGATGTTTACATTCGCCGACTGGATGCTGTTGTTAAGACCATACTGGTACTGCTCCACTGTCTTTAGCCACCCCAAGTCATCATGTGTATGCGGCACAAGATGGACCGTGATCTTTGCATGTGAGGAAAAAGGAAGAAGTATGACAACAACAAAAATAATAATGCTTGTTGAACACATAAATAAGCTCAGTATCTTGCAATTCATAGAAATCATTGAGAGAAACCCTTAAAGCAATACTAATAACTAATAAGAGAAATGATCAAATGCGCAAATAATATTATCTCTCGAAAGCTGAGGAGGATGAAGAAACCCAAAATAGGTTAAGAAGAGTAGGTTGCAAAAAACAAGACACTAATAAAGAACGAATATCAACATAAATTCAAAACAACAGAAGGAATCCAGTCCAGACTCCAGGCAAAACCAAAAGTAAGTAACACTAAAGAATAATAAAAAAAAAAAAATCATAACTGCTCTGTGTTTTTTTTTTTTTTTGCCAGGTTAAAAAATAAAAATAGAACGGTTGTCCACACTATGGTAATTAAAGAAAGGTCCTCATCACTGCCAAATGTCGTTGTAGTGGACTCTGCTTCCCTTGCTACTGCTGATTTCGATTAAATCAGTATTGAGCGAAACTAAACTGACCATATATTTTTTTTTTGTCAGCACACACTCAAGAGAACAAGGATGAACTGAATTTGAATAATACACCCTCATATCTGTAGATACAATAATACTAAACGCAACTAGAACCTCAAGCCACCTCAATACAATATCCTCTATATACACAATAATAATAATAATAATAATAATAATAATAATAATAATAATAATAATAATAATAATAAACAGCCAACAGCAGATGTGAAAGGAGAAGCAAAACGACAAACAGATGATAAGAAAAGAACATATACACATACTCGTGGATAATAAATTCGAAGAAGAATAAAGTTTCTGTGATGTATTTCATACCTTATTATGTTGGGCTAATATTGTGTGTTTCTAGAAGAGACATATATCTACAATGTATGTTTTAAGGAAGCCCTCAGGATCATATTACAATATGGTCCAAGTTCAATTAGAATATACTAACAACATTCACCTAGTATCTACAGAAATGTAAGTTAAACATCTGAAACTGAGTGAAAAACAAAAGCAGATAGGAAGAAAAAAAAAAGAAAATCTTAACAAGGAGAGCTTACCTCGTACCACAGAACAGTGATATAAAACTTTCACTCATATTTTTTTTTTTTTTTTGAGGGGGGAGAAAAAAATAAATAATGCAAAAAGAACAGCGAAACATATCAAATGAGATGAAAATAATGACGTAATAAAATAATCTTGCATACAATTGTCCTTGTTTTTGCGTCCAAATCTCCGTACCTCTAACCCTCAAAACTCCTGCATTCTCCTCAGTTTCTGTGGGTAACACATAAAGGAAGGAGACTCAGAAAAACAGCTGCACCGAGATGATCAACCGTTCAGAGTCACTTCAAATACAATTTTCCTTTTTTATCTTTTTTTTTTTTTTCCTATAACGGACACACAGGTAGACAAAACATAAAAACACAAAAACCCTTTATTTCCCTTATTCTTTCAAAAGAAAAAAAAATCTGAAGTCCTTCTTTCCATTTTTATCTCTTTTACCCAAACCGCACGTGCGTTTTCCACAACCTATCATGAAAAACGTTTTTTAAGATATCGTTTTATTTTGTTTTTGCTTTCTTTTGTTCAAATTATATATATATATATATATATATATATATATATATATATATATATATATGTATATATAATTTTTTGTTGTATTTTTGATACGCTCTCAGAACCCAAGCCTAATAATAATAAAAAAAAAATTTCGGTTTCACTATCTTTCTATCCATTTTTTCACCCCACGCTTCACATTATAAATCTTTTTCCCGTTTTCTACTTTGATCCGAATGCCTTACCACGTGCAATGTTCTTCTCCAGTTCCACAAGGCACTTCTCCATTAAGCCTTCCTCAAATTTATTCAGCTTGGGCTTCTGCGTCTTCACAACACCGTTTTTGCCAAGCTCGACGGCACAGCTGAAGTACGGAACACCTGGCATAACGTCTGTTTGAACGAAGGTGTACTCCACGACACCTTTGTCACCGCGGAGGGCCTTCAGTACTGAAAATGCCCACTCGGCGCCAGCGTACGCCATCGACAGCGTGGCAGATCCGGCGCCGTCCTTCGCCTGAACCACCTCATCGCCGCCGTACTGCACGCGGTGTGTGATGGCCTTCACTTGACTCTCTGACAGCTGTACACCTGCCTGGGAAAGAAGGGGCACAATCGTCGGGCCACTGTGACCGCCAACCACTGGAACATGAACGTCATACGGGCTTTTACCAGCAGCTTCCGCCACAAAGGTCCGGGCACGCACAATATCAAGTGTTGTCACACCAAAGAGACGCGCAGGATCAAACACACCAGCCTTCTTGAGTGTTTCCGCAGCAATTGGAACGGTGCTGTTGACAGGATTTGAAATAATACCAATGATAGCCTTGGGGCACTCCTTGGCACATGCCGTCACGAGATCCCGAACAATAGAAGCATTTGTATTGAAGAGGTCATCACGGCTCATACCTGGCTTGCGCGGTACACCGGCGGGGATCATAACAACATCGACACCGTCGAGAGCTTTCTTGATGTCCTCCTTCGCGTACCCCGTCACTTTGGCTGGGGAGCAGATATGCGAAAGGTCTGCTGCCACACCTGGGGCTCCGCGGACATCGTAACAGCTGAGTGCCGATACCAACGGGGAATTCTTCAACAGAAGAGAGAGAGGCTGACCAATACCGCCAGCAGCCCCAAGGACGGCAACCTTACTGTATCGAAGAGCGCAGGAGTGCATACTTGTTATCAGGAAGTTTTTTTAAATGTATTTTGTAGGCGTTTTTTTTTTTTTTTTTTTTTTTTCTTTTTTCTTTTTGCGATAAGTCCAGAAGAAAATGAAGGGGTAAAAAAAAAAAGATGTTCACACAGACATATAACATAGTAATAACAAAAACAAAAACAACAGAAATAATAATAATAATAATAATAATAATAATAATAATAATAATTTCTATTATTATTATTTCACACACGTAGAGACGTTCTGATAGACAAATAGGGTAAATAGAACCAATTCTATATATATATATATATATATATATATGTAGTTATTATACCCTTATAATAAGAACTACCTCTAATTTTCTCCTTTGTTCTCAACTTTTGCCATGCATCCGTAGATAAATGACACAACTCCATGTAAATTCGATCGATTGTGTAGTCAGATGTCAGTAGAGTTAATGCTGAAGTAAATAAAAGGCTTGAATTACAACGTACTTGTTCACCGTTACCTTCACTCTTCTTTTCCTTTCATAGAAGCAAAACGCACTCCAGCTTCAACGTCTTCAACAATCAGCGGAACAGCTGCCTCCACTAGTGCTGTTTCATAAGAAGTCAACGGTTCTAGCGGTAGTAACTGTGACACACCCTCTTCACCAAGTTCAACGCGTGAACTAAAAAAAGGTGTCTCTTTTCTCATTGTAGACTCTAAATAAGAACACTCAATGATACCACGATCGCCTCTCATTGCCTTCAATACAGACACAGACCATTCCATCGCAGCATACGCCAATGATAGACCTACAGGTGGGGCTACATCTAAGTCAAAACTATTATTATCAGTGTCTTCCATTTTTTCTCTTTCTTCTAAAATAGTGTCATTGCTATTCTTATCGGGTACAGAACTTCCATACGACTGTAATTTTTCAGATAAATGCATAAGTCGTTCATGAGGGATTCGCAACCCAGTTTGTGCTACCAGCGCACACGCCGTTAGACCACCTCTACCTCCTACGACTGGTATATTTACGTCATAAGGATTCATTTGCAACTCTTGTGCCACAAGGGTCCTCGCACGCACAACATCCAAAGTTGTAATACCGAATAGTTTACGTGGGTCAAAAACACCGTGTCGCACAAGCACTTCCTTCGCGAGAGGCACAAGAGCGTTAACAGGACTCGATACAACACCAATAACAGCCTTTGGTGCAGCTCGTGCCACCGCTTCCATGGCAACTATCACTTCTGGGGCAGATTCCGACAACGCAATGTCACGGCGAGCCCGTGATGGGTCAAACTCATTTCCAGAACAGACCAAAACCAATTGTGCCCCGCGTAGTGCCATCTCCCAATGGGAAGGGTCGTCAATACCATTCACAACAGCGTTAACGTCAATATGAGATAGATCAACAGCAACTCCGTGAGCGGGTGTTCTCACTGTCTCATCTTTGGCTTTGTTTAGAGTCCCACAGCAGAACACTTCACTTACATGTGGACAAAGTGTTAATAAGAGCGAAAGTGGTTGACCTACTACTGAAGTTGCCCCAAACACAACTACTTTTCCTGTGCATTTTTTTACAGCCGCTCTGCGCAGAAAGAACACCATGTCTCTGTGTTCTATTTGCCTTTTCTTTTTCTTTTTTTTTTTTTTTTAGTTCTTTCTCTCAAGTGAAAAGAGTTATAAATTTGTCTAAGAGGAATCCATGTAGAAAAGAAACACAAGAGAAATATACAGAAGTAGAGGAGAGAAAACAAGATTATTTCAAACAAAAACTATGGGCAATACACGTATAGAGAGGGGATGGGGAAGACAAAAAAAAAAAAAGAGACAGGTTTATACAAAACACCAAGAATTTAAACTACGTAAAACTAGCACCAATCTATTTGATGAAATTATTTCCTCCATGAAAACAGTTTAGACCACCATCGACGGTGTTTAGCCGCAATAATTGGATCTAGAACACGGCAAATAGACCGATCAATAGTATCTAATGTTGCATATCCATTCACAGTATGCCATAACTCTTCCTTCTCATATACAAGTTTAATTTCACTTAAATTTTCCTGAAACTTTGCAAGCCGTTGCCGAACAGCATCCTCTGTGTCTTCTGCTCTTTGCACCAGCGGTTGTCCGGTAACATCGTCACGTCCTTTTACCTTTGGAGGATTATACAAGGTATGGTATATACGTCCAGAAGCTGAATGTACCCATCTTCCTGAGTAACGATCGATGAGAACACGGTCAGCGATATTGAGCAAAACAATGGCATCAGGTTTTACACCTTCATCATTAAGTAAGCGTGCCTGTGCAGCCGTTTTGGGGAAATCATCAAGGAGGAATCCATTGATACAATCTGGTCCCCGTATGGCATCGGCAACTACTCGTGTTAGCAACCAATCAGGGATAGGTTTGCCTTCATTAAGAAGATGACGAAGCTTTTCACTAATGACTGTACGGTTATTCTCTACGGCATGTGATACCGCCTCATTGGGTGTTACGTGACAGACACCGTAACGCTCCTTAAGCACTGTTCCTATTGACGTCTTACCACTACCTGGAGGACCCAAAAGAAACACGTGCATTCTTCTCTCACGATAAGAATAAAAGATCGGGTACTTCTACACAACTGTTTCCGTTTATCTCTCTCACTCCAGCTTGATACGTGGGGAAGGGACGCCACCTCACTTTACTGCCGTGGAACCAATGACAAGAATTAGCAAGAAAGGCAGAAGCTGAGCAAACGGACGAAGACCGAAAAATATAATGCATTACATAAGTCCCCGTTGAAGTATAAAGCAATGAAGAGAAAGAGAGAGAGAAAGAGAGAAAAAAAAAAAACCAGCCAAAAAGAAGCAAATAAAAACAATAATAATAATAATATTGCCTTACGATAAGGCGGTGAAGAGACTGGACGCTATCAAAAATATGAGAAAAAAAAAGAAAGAGAAAAAAGACATATACATAATAAGATGAATGTAATAAATTTAAAAAGAACACACAAATTAAATAAGGCAGGATTTCAGCATTTCTGCTAATAAAGATAGTGTGCCAAGGGACAGGTAGGAACAAAAACCGAGAGTTAAAGAAGCACACAGTATTTTTTTTTATAAAAGGGGGAATAAAAATGGGAAATATCTATTTCAACATCACATGAAAAAATCAACGTAATGGCAAAATATGAACGAAAGAAAAAAAAAAAAAAACACAAGTTACAATTATTTGCCGCACCAACATTAATGCCTTTATCCTTAAATCAGTTCTAACTTTTCATCACATGCTTCATTATCATGGCTATCAAATCTCTAGCGGACAGGATGGTAACTTCACCACTGCCAATATTGGCAGCAACAGTCAAGCTATTCGTACCAAAAAGGACAAAAGGTATGAATATCAGTGGGAACAAATCCCGTAGATGCACAATACCACCACAGTAAGAAAAAAAAAAAAACATAAATGCATATGAGAAAGAAAAAAAAAAGACAGATATATACCAGTCTCCCTTATATACCCTCAAAAACTTCTTCCATTTCTTATATAACCTCCATGCTTTTCATATAAAATATAATATATATATATATATATATATATATATGCATATAGAAAAATAGATATAGATAGATAGATAGATATATATATGTATATTATTTTTCTTTCTGTACGTGGACGTAATTACCTACCCCACTACCTTTTTTTCGTCTGAATATAAACTTCCCCGCTACTATATCACCGCAGTAATTCATCACGAAAGGAACACTAAAAACATATACAGTGATGTATATGAATATATAGGTATGTATAATAGGTACACATAATAGATATACGTATCTATATGTAGATACACAGATAAATTAAAAAAAAAAAAGATAAAGAAAGAAAACAGAGAAAAAAAATTTGGAATTCTTTTATTGTTAATATGGATGCGTATCACATGCTTCATCCAACTGTTTTTACTTCTGCTTACACCTAGTTAATGTATTAACTTTTTTTAACCCTCTTGGGGACGTTACTTCAGCCCGAGTCGAATTGCCACAGGATCAAGAATGGATTTGAGTGTCTCGCGCACCGCTTCTACCGAGCGGTTGGCGTCGAGGCTCTCAAACACGCCCTTCTTCTTGTAGTATTCGATCAACGGCTCTGTTTCCTTATGGTACGTCGCGAGGCGTTTAACAACAACTTCTTTCCGATCATCAGGCCGTTGCATTAACGGTTCACCTGTAATGTCGTCCTTACCGGCCACCTTCGGTGGGAGAAAGAGTTCGTGATACGAGCGGCCACTCGGACGGTGAATCCATCGACCGCTAGTTCGCTCAACTATAACTTCATCAGGGGTCTCAAACTGAATGACCTTGTCTACATTCTCGCCCGCCTCCTCCATTAACTGCGCCTGCCGCAACGTGCGCGGATAGCCGTCGAGGACGTAGCCATACTTGCACTCAGGTCTGGTCATACTCTCCTTTAGGATGCCGAATACAACATTGTCTGATACCAGACCACCTTCTTCCATTATCTGTTTGGCCTTCAAACCGTACTCAGTCTTTCTCGCGACAGCCTCACGAAGCATGTCACCAGTCGAAAGATGGCAAACGCCGTAGCGTTCGGTGAGAAAAGGACTTTGTGTCCCTTTCCCGCAACCGGGAGCACCCATCAGTACAATCTTCATGACGCCTTCGTATTAAGTACGTGTACGCGTGTGTTCGTTATACCTATTATGAAAGGAAAAAAATAAAGAAAAAAAAAGGGCACAAATATATATATATATATATATATATATATCAGGTACTAAAAAAGTAAAGTGTAACTATTTGGCATCCTTCCCAGAAATAGGAAAACAAATTGAGCTGGTAGTTCAAGCAAAAAAAAAAAAATCAACTGAAGGTGTAACTGGATAAGAGAAACACACTAGTTAGGAGTCTAAAGGCGCAGAAATCTCCCCATAAAGCAGTAAGCAAAGGGGAAATATTAATAATATCAATCTCCCTCAAAATGTAGAGCAGTTCCGCATGCTTTCCAAATAAATAAGAAAAAAAAAGTGAGAGAGAGGGAAAGAGTTAGAAATAGTTCTCTCATCTCTTTTTTTTTTCTTATTTCCTTATTCTGCTCTTATTTGTTCGGTTTTCTGGGGTTGCTGCATTCCCTCAAGAGCTGAGGCACCATAACGCTTGAGCAGCTCCTCTGGTGAAAGGGGTGGAAACAACAATCGACGAATCTGTGACAACCTCTCGTATTTAGGGTATCCATGAGAGTCAACAGGGAGTAGCACAGCAGTTGTTCCAGTTACCCGTTCATCATCGTCGGTTGACCATTTTATGGCAAGACAGCTTTTACAACAATCATTACTGTAGCAACGAAGTTTAATTGACCCATAGGTAAGATAAAGCTGTGGGTAGGTCCCGCGATGCTCACGATTTTGATTTAGACAAAAGCGTGACTGTTTCTGTTGAGCATAATAAGCTCGAATACATTCCTGATACTGTACATTGACACAATTTCCTGATAGAGGTGACATCATATTTCCCTGTTGATCACGATCTCTATGTACACCACCATCGTATTCGATAGAAAGGCAGCGAAATACTTCAGCCACAAGATCCTTAACTTGAATATCACGAATACTCACACGAACACCATCACGAAGTGGTGGTCTCGGCAGAGCAAAAGGGTTCTGATTTTCTACCATAACCGCAGTTGAAGTATTTTGATTTATTAACGACGTCATTCTAAAGAGACGAAGTGCGGTAACATCTCTTTCCTCATTTTTTTCTGTGGTACAGTTATCCCGCTGAATAGAAGCAAGGTCAAAAACCGTATGAGCTAGTTCTTGGTGAAAATCTTTTTCAGAGTCACCATTGTGTGAAGAAGATGGTAAATAAGCTGATAGAAAATCAATAAGCTTCTTGTCTGTAATTGACGTCATACCCGGTACAATAGGTAAGAGGAAACGGTAGAGAAAAAATAGTTTCGTAAGCATACGATAGTGGTGCTCCCAAAGGGAAGAAGACGATTTTTTTTGCAAAGAGGAGATGTCTATAAAGTGTGCCACAGTAGGAGCCACTTTACCGACGCGATTATCTAGAGGAGTAACAACTTTTATGTGTAATTGTGAAAGCTCTAATACCATCAGATCAAGTGCAGATGCGTCTACAGCAGAAAACATTAATGGTGATGGTAATTTTACGTTGTAAGGCAAACGAAATGCTCGCCATCTTGTGTAAACCCCAAAATCGATGCAACGACGCAACATAAGATTAAGAGAATAATTATGACTCTCTTTTCCTTGAGAAAGAGATAAATCAAGTTCTTCCCGAATGTGAGACATAAACCTGTGTAATTCTCGTATATTGGCGAAAGCAGTGTTAGTGTTAAGGCGAAAGTGAATGTGAAAACTAATTTTAGTATCTTTAGTACTGAGTAGTGATTCACTTTCTCTTCCCACATCTCCAGCTTTTCTCTCCGTTTTGTCATCACGAAGAATCACAGAACTTGTTAGTACCAAGCATTGTTGCAGTTGAGCCCCTGTAGCCGACTCCACCTTATCCCGCAGAAAGTATAATACCTCTCTGAGCCATCGTTCTACAGTAGCTGTCGTTACTTGAAATGACGAAGACAATGATGGAGACGTAATATTGTCTTCTTTTTCTTTTTTTATTTTTTCTATTCCTTTTTCTACTTCCTCTTCCTCAATAATGTCACTCTCATTATTATTATCATACTCCATCCAATCAAACGGTGGGCAGCAGTCAATGTCAAAAAAGGGATCTACAGCAGAATTTTCATCCACCATGACGTAAAGATTACGCTGATGACAAAACGGTATTGTCTCAATAAAAGATACTAATTCATCTCTAGGTATCGTATTAAACATTTTTCCACTAGATCCACTACGATTGTCGGACGCAACAACAAGTTCACCTTGATTAACGGCGTAACGTCTCTGCACGATAGCGTCAAGTCTAGTGGAGTAGAAAGAGCGGGGAATATCCATCGGATCGGGTCTCCTAATATTCACTGCCGCATCCAACGTAAAAGGTAAACGCGTTGAATGAGGATGCACTGTAGTGTCAGCATCATCATTGTCTGTAGACTGCATCAATGCTCTGTGCTGCGAAGCCGCACGCCAATACTGGTCCGCCGGAACGGCAACTGAATCAAAACATTCATCTAGAACACGTAATGCATCATCGTTAACTGTATGATCCTGTGGCAGTTCCAAAGCTGATCGAATATGCAGAATTCCTGCAGTTGGTCCAGTAACGGCAAAAATAGCGTTTACCGATGCTCCATTAGCCTCAAATCGCGGAACTTTAGAACTCTTCTCCATCACTCTATTTCTCTAGACAAAGTGAGAAAGGGAACACCTTCTATACTAACTTCTAGCTCATATCATTATCATACCAAATTTGAATAGAAGGCAAATTAAGATATAAACAATCACAGTATACGTGAATTAACGCAAGCACAACTCAACTCCCTATAATTTACATACTCTTTTTTTTTTTTTTCCTTTCCCCTCACCTCCATTTCTCACTTATCATTCTCTTCTTTTTTTTTTCTTTTTCCAGTGACACGCTATTGAGTTTGCCTGTTAGAAGCATTCAGCACCGCTTTCCCGCTACCACGTACGATTCCGGTGTAAGGACAAAACGCGCAAAGACTGTTCGACAACAGAAGTACAATTGTCACTCTGACTAATGCATTCTAGGAGAGTGGAACACTGACACGACACGTCTACAAGGTCCCCACAAGTTTCTTTTCTCGTTAAGACAAGTGCAACAAGATCCATCTTCGCCGAGAGACGACCCTCCAGAATCAACAGGTGCAAAAGTTGTTGTAAATCTTTCTCTGGAATGGAGAGCCGCAAGGCAGCTTTCCGTACGTCTATAGTAGTGAAGCTACTAACATACTCTGTCACGACAGCCTGTTGAAACTGATGCAAGAGAAGTTCGCCATACTTACATGCAAATATATCTGTTTTTAGAAAAGAAGAAGCTAATTTAGACGCTAAACTCAAAGCCTCAGCAAACCTAGCTTCCTCTAATACCTGAACAAGTGTACATGCCTCAGGTACATCCTCCCAAAGTTGTCGAACGTCAACCTGAATTATCAGTTCCATAGCCTCCATGCGTGGTAATGCTGCAAAAGCGGAAAACAGTACCATTACACCAAGATGAACTCCTGATGTAATGAATTCCTCTACAAAATCTCGTAGGTGACGAATTGCTGGTAATGATCCGGGGGTATTTATGCGTGCTCCAAGTGAAGACGCAACCTCTGCAGTACCATGCTTTGTAATAAGTTCCTCAGAAAGAGGAGCCCACTTAGCGCCGCGCAAACCATTTGCGGTGAAAACACGCGCAAATCCATCAAAGTTGCAATCTTCAAACATGCACAGGGCTCGTACAATGGAAAAAAACAAAACGTGTTCTTCAATCTCTCGTACTGTTTCCTCTGAACGTTGGTGTTGCTGTAACGCAACATGCGAGAAACCTCCACCCTGTGCAGCCAGCATGCACCGAGAAGCGTGTTCGATAAGGGAAACCATTGAGTTTCCCACAAGAGTTTTAACAATCTCCAAAGCACCAGCCCCCAGGGAAAGCTCAACACTACGACGGACTATCTCCAGTTCTAATAAAACAGAATCCACTGTCTGTGAATTTATAGTCATTTCTTGAATAGAGTGAACCTCCAAGAATAAACCCCTAAGAGTCTTATTCATTGCATCATAGTCATGCATATCTGCCAGAATTTCTGCCATTCGCATCTTAGCCCGCAGTTCACGCATTCCCACTGCTTCTAGTCGACTTCTTTTGGGTCCCATAGAGAAACTATTTGGCGTCCCAGATAAGGAATCCTCTCCTTGATGCTCTGAAACTGAGAGGGCATCTTGCATGGCGGCATCAGCCCGGGCCAAAACAGTAGCTTCATCTTCAACAGATAGTACACAACCTTCCGGTAGCTGGAAGCATTTCTTTTCGCATAAACGGCTAAAATCTTGCATCTCACAAACACTTAATCCGCTCTTCAGATAATTCACACCCATCAAAAAAATTTCATCGCGTGTTTGTGCATTAAGTTCCTCACCACATCCCAAATCACTGAAGAGAATGTGCTTTACACGAAGGCACCGCTGCCTCATGGGAGCTCCCCCCACAAGGAGTCGAGGAGAAACTTCCATTCAGTGTGACTAAGGTTTTCTGTAATAAGATGCTATTTTTACCAACGATAAAGAGTATACTCCTCAAGAAAAAAAAAAATTAGAAAAAATAAAAAAGTATTTTTTTTTTCTTTTAATTTTTGTCTATGAGAAAAAATTTACAGGTATACATGAGGACATTGGTTGTGTGCCACAAACTATAGGGGATATTTATGAAAGACAGGAACTCCAGTCAAAAAAAGAAAAACATCGTAGAATAAAACTAGCCAGAGAATGAAAAATTCAGCTCATTTTGCAAAATCAACCCTCACCACCAGTATTTTGGGTATGGAGAACGTCTTTCCAGTAGATTATTCATCAACCATGCGCAAAGAAACAAAAGAACACATCCACTGATGACTGGAAAAACAACAAATAAAAATCCATGATCATTATAGTACGTATTCAGTGGATTAAGAGCAGCTGTAACACAAGTTGCGCTAGCTGGTGGGTGCATCGTGTTAGTTAGAGACATGAAAACTAAGTGTACCCCTACTGCAACAGCACCAGCACATTTGAATCCAAATGACTCATTGGGTACAAACTGAAATATATTTGAGAGCGAAACTCCAATAATCGCTGCAGCAATATGAGAACAAAATAAAGACCTTGGTTGTGCTGAAGGTGACAAAGGTGCGCAGAAAACCACAGTTGTACTGGCACCAAAGGCAGGAATAAATATCTTCAAATTCTTCATAAAGGGGTGAAAGGCATAGAATTCTATTAAGGAGAACATAATCATCGTTATGCAGACAAAGAGAAAGGTTACAACCAAGTCCCACGAAGGATAAAATCCGTAGACACTCTTTGACTGATCATAACCATTGAATCTTGACCAATACCATTGAGGAAACTCCCGTAGCGGTGGCCATAAGTGGAAGAACTTCCTCACAGGGGACGAGGAAGAGCCTCTCGATGATACACTTTTCCCACTTGGTACGGATGTTGCAAGCTCTCCAAAAACAGCTGGCTCGTTCAATTGAGAGTCAGGCGATAAGGTTTCATGCAGTCGTGAGCCTGCAGCGGGGGAGTCAAGACTGGGGAGAAACGTGGTATCGTGCCTCAACATTAGTGTGGGGTGTATGGTAAGATCGGGTCTCTGAGCTTTTACTGCAGTAACTAAAGTTGAGCGGAGTCTTTTTCACCCCACCGACGTGCACCGTCTCTTCTCTCGTTTTGCAACACGATCGTAGTATGCCGGTAAAACCTCTTGGTGCATCACAGCAAAGAAAGAAAAAAAAAAAAAGTGTACACATTGGGCGGCAACAGCAATCTTAATGTTTTCCCACATGTCTCCAGAAGCATCGGGGAAATTCAAAAGACCAAAATAATAATAATAATAATAATAATAATAATAATAATAATAATAATAATAAAACCAGAAAGAAATAATATAAAAAAAAAAAAAAATGTGATGACATATTCATACACGACCTTATGCCGTAGTTTATCATTGAGAGCAGGAAATCGAAAAGAACCATAGAACTTCATAATAGAAGGAGAGGTCTAAAAAGATATTCAAAGATCAGCACACATAGAGTTTCAGGGAACATCAGATAATAAGGTTCCCATCACAGACCTCACACGCAACTACTCTTCATACCACCCCGTAAAAAAAAAAAAAAAAAAAAAAAAAAAAATACCAAAACAAATTGTGAATGAAAAAAGTTCCCACCCTCACTATTCCCGAATAAATAAAAAAAAAGAAATTGGTTATGCCTGAATATGCCCCTATCCAAGCCGGGGAAATTCGTTCCCTGATTTAATTTCTTTGGGAGTCAAGTGCATAGTTATGGTGCTGTTCATTGGAGAAAGGCTCTGCGCAGATAGAACTGACGAGCATGACGGTCGCTGTGTGTCTGCACTCGCGGAAGAGGCCGTCAAGGTGCGCGAGACCGCGCTGTCCCGGAGACGAGATGAGTGGCACTGGGACTCTGTCGCCGCACTGACAACACTGAGAGTACTGACAGTACTGGTGGGAGGTGCGGTTCGCGCAACATTGTGTATCCGCCAGGCGAGAGCAGCCACTGCCACCAGGCCAACAGCACCGAGGACACTGAGAATAACAATAATGGGGACAACCCACATGGGAGTGGACAAACCGCGTTGCAGTCGACCCTCTTCATTAAGCACAGATAGAACAGCACCTGTTCCCACGAGTAATGCAGGAGCACTTTCAGTGACCTTATTCACCATAGACCAAGGTTGCAAATCCACACGTCCACAACGCAGAGGGGTGACAACTCCTCCGTCTATTGCCAAAGGAAGAACACGAATTCCTTCTGGTTGCATTGTGGAGAGCATCGTGTGCAGCAATCGGATGAGCGCACATCGATTGGGACCAACATCGGCAATAGGGACACTCTGAAGTTTCGGAAGTGTTACACCAATCGGGAGAGTCCATGTACAACGTTGGATTTCATGGCTGAACACCGTCAAATTACTGTACTTCTCTAAGCATTCCATGTCAGTGAGAGGACGACACATTGCTTCCCCCACCTGTGCACTCATCTTTAAAGAGATGTCTTCGCTTTTGTAAATATAATCGAGCGGACAAGTTAAAGCGGCATCAGATTCCGCATAACAATCAGCATCCACTTTAGATTCAATGCTTATCAGAAGAGCCACAGCAAATAAAACAAAAATAGAACTCGGCATTTTGGATGTACCAAAAGAAAAAAAAAAAGAAAATCTTGCGCAATCTTTAACAAGTCAAAAGAAAAAACAAGAGAAAAGAAGAAGGGGAGAGAGAGAGAGAGAGGAATCAGAAATTGGAAAGAGTCGAGGACATAAGCAAGCATAATTCCCAGATCCCTTTTTTTCTTTGTTTTTCTTGGCTAATGCAGAACAAAAGAGACATGCTAAGACATGCCTGAGAAGTGAAAATGGAAACAGATTCTCTTACATTTTTCATGTTCTTTCCTACGCAAACAAAATTTTTGTTCCTGAGTCAAGCGATGGTATACTGTCGTCGCGCTCCATCATCACAATTTGATACCCAAAAAGGATCGTAAAGAAAAAACAAAAAACGATGACAGAAGATCAATAAACGCAGCAGAACTTACAAGTAAAATAAGTCAAATAATAAAGGGAGAGTAATTCTGTGCACTCGCAGATATATTGCTCAAAGATTATAACAGTCTTTGTAGAAAACGAACCAGAATAATAAAAAAAAATGAACCAGAACTCTGATAAAGAGAACACTGCCGAGATCCCTCAGAAATAGACTACGCATTGACGAACTAGCAAGCATAGAGAAAGGTTAAAGTACAAAACCCAGAAAAAAGGCAGAAACATTTTTGTGTAAAAGAAAAGAAAAAAACGAAAACAAAAAACAAAAATCACTTTCTGTTCCACATGTCTCCATTTTTCTTTTTGGTTTTAACAAAATTATTTCTCGTCGAGAGCCACAAATTTTACAATATTTTTCCTTCACTCAAGGAACACCGAGCCAAAAAGAGTTCAAAATACTATATTTAACAAGCTACCCGTATACCTCAGAGTAAAAGGAAGCATAGTATATACCCATATCACATGATTACTGTCTTTGTTTGTTTTACGATGGGCAAAAAACAACTAAAAAAAAAACAAAAAAAACCAGTTTTTGTAGGTGACAGGGATCCACGTCAATTAGACGTATTGCCTTTAACACTAATACAATATATATATATATATATATATATATGAATTACGATTTCACAACACTCTTTAAGCAAAGAGGACAAGTAGACACATTGGGAGAAATTACCTCACCACCAAAGAGGGTAAGCTGGACGCCACGGTACTAGGTTGTTGGTAACCCAGGACAGTATGAAAATAATGAACACTCCAAGTAACACAGGAGCCACAAGAAACATATAACCCTCGTCATTCATTCGACCATACTCATGAAATGCTGCCAGTACTGCTGTTGCCGAACTGGAGGGCTGAAACCATCCAAGAAGGGACATAAGCGGAGACAGCACCGAAACGGCAAATACGCTAGCTAACAGTCTCCCTAATGGTTGCTCAAGCGTCTTTGTTGCGTGTCCAAAAGATAGCCCGAGAAATGCGCCAATAAAATGCGTTAAGATAAAACATCGTGGTTGTGCTCCTGGAGTGGTCATTAGACACACTGTCAAAGCACAAGAAGAGCCGAACGATGGTAAGTACGACTGCAGACCATAAGGTTCTAATGCAAACACATCAACAGCAGCCAGCACAAGCATAATTCCTATTGATAACAGGAAGGTCGGCACAAGATCGAGAGATGGAGCAAAGACCGGTAGCCCCTCCACACCACCACCCCGTAAACGTTTTATGTACGTAGACAAAGCCACGCAAAAAACGTTCATTCGCACTGGACTTGTCACGCTATTTTCAGAGTCCTGTGAAACACTGCCACCAATTTCCATCATCTCTTCCTCAAATTTCACAGATCGTTCTTCCGCTGTAATACTGGAACTGTCGCATGGGGGGAGTATTATACCTTCTCCACGCCCGCCAACCAGCTCTCTTACTCCCTCAGTCTCGACGTCTAGCGCATACATTAACCAAAATCCAAATAGCTAAAACAATAACAAAACAGAGAAAAAAAAAAGCATTGAAAAAAAAAATAATTATTATTATTATTATTATTATTATTATTATTATTATAAAATAATAATAACGATTCGCACAACAAAAAGAGAACATGAAAACACATATGCATAAAAAAATAAACTGAAAACATAAAGAACATATCCTAACATAATTAAGAAACTGACCAAAAACTCAAAAAAAAAACTGGATATACTTTTTCGTACACTCACATTTAATAAAAGGCCAAGTAAAACCCATTCGCGCGAAAGAACAATTGGATTAATGTAAAATGAAAAAAAAAATTAAACTTGAAAGATTTTTTACTTCAACAGCAATTAAAAAACGTTTTCTGAATATTCTGTAGAAACTGTTTAAACTTACAAAACCTTCACACAAAAGACCCCCTCCACTAGAACCACATAAGAATCTTGAAGAGAAAACCAGTACGGTCACAACATGTGCGAAAGAGAAGACTGTGTATTCTTCTTTGTTTCCTAAACGCGTCTTTGTAAATATATATTTTTTATATTTTTTGCACAACTACTGTGCAGTTAAAGATCAAGATCCTTATGCCATGGCCAACTACTCTCGAAAGACTCCAAACAATCTGTCGACTTAAAGCCAGAGTTCAATATAAATGTATCAGCCTCCACCGGCCCCCGTGATCCTGCCTCATATGGTAATATCTTCAATTCCCCACGGTCAATGGCGTGAAGAAGAGGTGTATAGATTCTCCACGCAGCATCCAGTTCATCCTTGCGGACAAAGTTAGTGGAGTTCCCCAGCAATGCTTCATTAATAAGACTTTCGTACGCATCGGGGAGAGTCACACTGTAACGCTGCTCGTACGTGAGATCGAGCTCGGTCTGGTGGGTATCGCGCAGAAGCCCCGGTTTCTTTGCAGTAAGTCTTATGTACATGGCCTCAGAGGGTTGTGCACGAATGACAAGTTCATTACGCTGTGTGGCATCACCAAAGGGTTGTATCTCGTCCTTGAATTGAATTTGGATTCCAAGGAAACGTCGATCAAGAGCCTTTCCGGCCTTGATTATGAATGGCACACCATGCCAGCGATCATTGTTAATATGCAGGCGCAGCACAGCAAATGTGGGGCAGTGGCTGTCTTTTGGTACAGTTGGGTCGTCAAGGTAACCTGGCATTGAACCATCCTTGGATGCTGTATACTGACCAAGCACACAGTCAGCTGGAGACACAGGCTCTACGTATCTAAGCGCCAGAACCTTCTCGTCCCGAATATCTTCAGCGTTCAAAGAGCGGGGCTTTTCCATAGCTAAGAGTGAGAGAATCTGTGTGAGGTGGTTCTGCACCACATCGCGGATGATTCCGACGTTGTCAAAGTATCCACCACGTCCCTCCGTTCCTATCGTCTCCTTGAAGGTGATCCGCACACACGCAATGTTGCTGCTGTTCCACAGTGCGCTGAATATACGGTTGGCAAATCGTGTAACGACAATGTTCTGCACCATCTCTTTCCCAAGGTAGTGGTCGATGCGAAATAACTGATTCTCGTTAAAAAGAGGCTCCAGTTCCCGTGAGAGCTGTGCAGAGGTCTCTGTGTCGTGACCAAACGGCTTCTCAATGATGACACGAACCCAACCAAGCTCTGGTGTCTGCATTACACAATTTCGGAGGCCCGTGCACGCGGTAACAAAGGCTGTCGGAGGTAGCGCAAGGTAAAACAGACGGTTACCGCCCTTTTGAGGTCCTTTGAAAGAATGTTCCATACTACTAATGTAGTCGTTCAAGCGCATGAAATCTTCCGCCTGGTCGTACGAACCCCTGATATAGGTGATATGCCGCAGAAAGGCATCGACATGGCAGCCACGCTCATTCAGTCTTGTGAAGAATTTCGCCAGCGTCTTCTTCCACGCCTCAACGTCATCAATCTTGGAGCGGGCATAACCAACAATGTTTACCCCAGGGGGCAGCATACCGCCACAGTACAACTGAAAAAGGGCTGGAAATGTCTTTTTCTTGGCCAAATCTCCACTCGCACCGAGAACAACAATTGTAAGTGCATGATTCTTTAGTTCTGGTGAAACATCATCGGGAATGCGAACACAGGAATCCCCACGTACCTCCACAGCAACCTTCTTGGCGTTTGTCATGACATACTCACATATGTCGTTAGGTCGTTCCTTCAATACCTTCTCACGGAATTTATCAAAGAATTTGTCCACCTCCTCGTGGAAGGCACCGTGATTATGAGACTCGTTTACCTCCGCTTGCATATTCAAAGATGCACAGCACGAAGCAGAGGTCACTCAGCGTATCCCTTTTCCTTTTCTGTCTTTTTTGTATGGTCACTGTTCAGCAACTAAGCTAAAACAACAGGTTTCACTCTTTGCCTAAATACACACACATACATATACATATATATTATGTGGTTGAGAAATCAAGAACACATTGTCAAGAAGGAAAAAAAAATGTGAAGAGCAAGATGTCCGGCACAACACAAACACACCACCACCACCACAACAACAACAACTACTACTACTAACACTGTACGACAGCCATACTTTTGAAGACAAGACGCTTTCTGCGTATAACCTAAAGTCTAAGTCGAGAGGAACAAGTGATTTTCGTCATCAAGGTCAGTAACAGATCTCGTTCTCTTGATTGTACAACTGGACTATTCTTCACTTACCATCTTATACATAAATCAAAGGAAAAAAAAACTCGCTCGTTCCCCCCACCCCACTTCCCCTTCCCCTACTCCCTCATTCCTCTATTTTTCGCATGTTGATGTCTCTTAAAACATCTTCAGCTAATTTGTACAAGAGGTTTTTTATTATTATTTGATTTTCCCTACATTTGGTTTCACCAGACTCATCCCCTTTCTATCTGCTCCAGAAAACAGGAGAGGTGACAACAAGCTCATTAGAGGCGAGACTTGACAAGACATAAAGAGAGAGAGAGAGAGAGAGAGAGAGAAAGCAATCCCTGCGTACAAATGGCCTAGATTCAAGCACCGCACTTGCACACTCTTTAGCACACAGACATAGCCATAAATACATAGCTACACACCTACATACTGATATGCAGAAACATATACCAAAAAAAAACTTTATCTATCGTGTCATCAGCGTTACTCACGTGGGACAGACTTGAGGTTTTTCGTGCCAAGCTCAAGCAACTTCTGATAGGCCTTGGCGAAGCTAGCGCAGAATAACTCATTGTCGGCAGCGTACTTCTTCGCAATTGCACGATATTTGTCGTCTAGTAGAATGGCCATGTCCGCTGGCAGCATCATGAGGTTCTTAGTGGCCCTGTCCATAAATTGAAGATTTTTCACATCAGGATTTATTTCCCACTCGTTGTTAAACAGCTCCGTGAAAAATGAGTTGTCGAATCCATACTTGTCATGTGTCCACGGCCCCTTGAAGCCGCTGTTTTCGAGGTGACACTCCCCGCAGGTGTGAGCCCCAATTAGCGCCACCGTCTCGTCATCATTAAAACCCAGACGCGTAAAGACCTCGCGCACGTGGTTCTGCGTCTTGGACCCGTCGGGGAGTCGCCCGTCGGGGCCACAGACAGAGCCGTCCTTCGCGTCCACGCGGCCCCAGCGCCACGGCACTGCTGGTCCGCCCATCGTCTCGATTGACACCACCGCGGCGAGGGACCACAGGTCGGCGTACGAGATCTGAGGGTACTTTTGCTTGAGCGGCTCCAGAGCCTTGCGTGCCTTATCAAGTCCTGCGTTGCCGCTATAGTCACACTCCGGCCGAAAACGCATTGAGGCCGAATTGGGGCTCCCATCCTTCTTCTTGCAATCCCATGAACCAGCCTCGTGCCATGCAAGACGCACAAAAAGAGGCCCCTTTGACAAGTCATCAGAAACAATAGCCTCAATATCTTCCTTGAGAGCCTTTAGGTCGAACGGGGGTGCCGCCTCCGAACCCACCCGACCAGCAACAGAAAAACATGATACAACGGTGGCACCACCCACTAATGTCGTGGCAGCAGCAGTAGAAAAAGCAAAAACCCGAGAGAAGCGGAAGCGACCGTATCGGTGTTGCGTCGCCACATTGACAACAAGGCGCCTTGAAAGAAGTGCACCAACACGAGAAAACATACCTTTCAACCTTTTTGATCTACAATCTCGAAATATATCTCCCAAAGCAAATAATAAATTGAGGTAAAAGACGAACAAGAAGAAAAAGAAAACACAATGCAGGGTGGATGGAAAAAAAAACTGCGAAAAACTACGACTCTTTTTTTAAACAGAACAATGAGAAAACAACACCAAACCAAAATAGCGTTGAAACAAAGGGAAAAAAAAAGAAAAAAAACACGCGCGCACTAACCTTACTCTCCGCGATCACAACTCTAACGCCAATCCTCAGCCGAAGAAAATGTGAACTCCAATTGCGATAAAAATACATCAATATTAAAATAAAACAAGTGAAGAAAAAAATTGTTTTTTTAGCAATTGTTCACCTACAGTACCGCAAAAGGCATTGCTCTATCCATCTCAGAGAAATTGTTTAAACTTACAAAACCTTCACACAAAAGACCCCCTCCACTAGAACCACATAAGAATCTTGAAGAGAAAACCAGTACGGTCACAACATGTGCGAAAGAGAAGACTGTGTATTCTTCTTTGTTTCCTAAACGCGTCTTTGTAAATATATATTTTTTATATTTTTTGCACAACTACTGTGCAGTTAAAGATCAAGATCCTTATGCCATGGCCAACTACTCTCGAAAGACTCCAAACAATCTGTCGACTTAAAGCCAGAGTTCAATATAAATGTATCAGCCTCCACCGGCCCCCGTGATCCTGCCTCATATGGTAATATCTTCAATTCCCCACGGTCAATGGCGTGAAGAAGAGGTGTATAGATTCTCCACGCAGCATCCAGTTCATCCTTGCGGACAAAGTTAGTGGAGTTCCCCAGCAATGCTTCATTAATAAGACTTTCGTACGCATCGGGGAGAGTCACACTGTAACGCTGCTCGTACGTGAGATCGAGCTCGGTCTGGTGGGTATCGCGCAGAAGCCCCGGTTTCTTTGCAGTAAGTCTTATGTACATGGCCTCAGAGGGTTGTGCACGAATGACAAGTTCATTACGCTGTGTGGCATCACCAAAGGGTTGTATCTCGTCCTTGAATTGGATTCGGATTCCAAGGAAACGGCGATCAAGAGCCTTTCCGGCCTTGATTATGAATGGCACACCATGCCAGCGATCATTGTTAATATGCAGGCGCAGCACAGCAAATGTGGGGCAGTGGCTGTCTTTTGGTACAGTTGGGTCGTCAAGGTAACCTGGCATTGAACCATCCTTGGATGCTGTATACTGACCAAGCACACAGTCAGCTGGAGACACAGGCTCTACGTATCTAAGCGCCAGAACCTTCTCGTCCCGAATATCTTCAGCGTTCAAAGAGCGGGGCTTTTCCATAGCTAAGAGTGAGAGAATCTGTGTGAGGTGGTTCTGCACCACATCGCGGATGATTCCGACGTTGTCAAAGTATCCACCACGTCCCTCCGTTCCTATCGTCTCCTTGAAGGTGATCCGCACACACGCAATGTTGCTGCTGTTCCACAGTGCGCTGAATATACGGTTGGCAAATCGTGTAACGACAATGTTCTGCACCATCTCTTTCCCAAGGTAGTGGTCGATGCGAAATAACTGATTCTCGTTAAAAAGAGGCTCCAGTTCCCGTGAGAGCTGTGCAGAGGTCTCTGTGTCGTGACCAAACGGCTTCTCAATGATGACACGAACCCAACCAAGCTCTGGTGTCTGCATTACACAATTTCGGAGGCCCGTGCACGCGGTAACAAAGGCTGTCGGAGGTAGCGCAAGGTAAAACAGACGGTTACCGCCCTTTTGAGGTCCTTTGAAAGAATGTTCCATACTACTAATGTAGTCGTTCAAGCGCATGAAATCTTCCGCCTGGTCGTACGAACCCCTGATATAGGTGATATGCCGCAGAAAGGCATCGACATGGCAGCCACGCTCATTCAGTCTTGTGAAGAATTTCGCCAGCGTCTTCTTCCACGCCTCAACGTCATCAATCTTGGAGCGGGCATAACCAACAATGTTTACCCCAGGGGGCAGCATACCGCCACAGTACAACTGAAAAAGGGCTGGAAATGTCTTTTTCTTGGCCAAATCTCCACTCGCACCGAGAACAACAATTGTAAGTGCATGATTCTTTAGTTCTGGTGAAACATCATCGGGAATGCGAACACAGGAATCCCCACGTACCTCCACAGCAACCTTCTTGGCGTTTGTCATGACATACTCACATATGTCGTTAGGTCGTTCCTTCAATACCTTCTCACGGAATTTATCAAAGAATTTGTCCACCTCCTCGTGGAAGGCACCGTGATTATGAGACTCGTTTACCTCCGCTTGCATATTCAAAGATGCACAGCACGAAGCAGAGGTCACTCAGCGTATCCCTTTTCCTTTTCTGTCTTTTTTGTATGGTCACTGTTCAGCAACTAAGCTAAAACAACAGGTTTCACTCTTTGCCTAAATACACACACATACATATACATATATATTATGTGGTTGAGAAATCAAGAACACATTGTCAAGAAGGAAAAAAAAATGTGAAGAGCAAGATGTCCGGCACAACACAAACACACCACCACCACCACAACAACAACTACTACTACTAACACTGTACGACAGCCATACTTTTGAAGACAAGACGCTTTCTGCGTATAACCTAAAGTCTAAGTCGAGAGGAACAAGTGATTTTCGTCATCAAGGTCAGTAACAGATCTCGTTCTCTTGATTGTACAACTGGACTATTCTTCACTTACCATCTTATACATAAATCAAAGGAAAAAAAAACTCGCTCGTTCCCCCCACCCCACTTCCCCTTCCCCTACTCCCTCATTCCTCTATTTTTCGCATGTTGATGTCTCTTAAAACATCTTCAGCTAATTTGTACAAGAGGTTTTTTATTATTATTTGATTTTCCCTACATTTGGTTTCACCAGACTCATCCCCTTTCTATCTGCTCCAGAAAACAGGAGAGGTGACAACAAGCTCATTAGAGGCGAGACTTGACAAGACATAAAGAGAGAGAGAGAGAGAGAGAGAGAGAAAGCAATCCCTGCGTACAAATGGCCTAGATTCAAGCACCGCACTTGCACACTCTTTAGCACACAGACATAGCCATAAATACATAGCTACACACCTACATACTGATATGCAGAAACATATACCAAAAAAAAACTTTATCTATCGTGTCATCAGCGTTACTCACGTGGGACAGACTTGAGGTTTTTCGTGCCAAGCTCAAGCAACTTCTGATAGGCCTTGGCGAAGCTAGCGCAGAATAACTCATTGTCGGCAGCGTACTTCTTCGCAATTGCACGATATTTGTCGTCTAGTAGAATGGCCATGTCCGCTGGCAGCATCATGAGGTTCTTAGTGGCCCTGTCCATAAATTGAAGATTTTTCACATCAGGATTTATTTCCCACTCGTTGTTAAACAGCTCCGTGAAAAATGAGTTGTCGAATCCATACTTGTCATGTGTCCACGGCCCCTTGAAGCCGCTGTTTTCGAGGTGACACTCCCCGCAGGTGTGAGCCCCAATTAGCGCCACCGTCTCGTCATCATTAAAACCCAGACGCGTAAAGACCTCGCGCACGTGGTTCTGCGTCTTGGACCCGTCGGGGAGTCGCCCGTCGGGGCCACAGACAGAGCCGTCCTTCGCGTCCACGCGGCCCCAGCGCCACGGCACTGCTGGTCCGCCCATCGTCTCGATTGACACCACCGCGGCGAGGGACCACAGGTCGGCGTACGAGATCTGAGGGTACTTTTGCTTGAGCGGCTCCAGAGCCTTGCGTGCCTTATCAAGTCCTGCGTTGCCGCTATAGTCACACTCCGGCCGAAAACGCATTGAGGCCGAATTGGGGCTCCCATCCTTCTTCTTGCAATCCCATGAACCAGCCTCGTGCCATGCAAGACGCACAAAAAGAGGCCCCTTTGACAAGTCATCAGAAACAATAGCCTCAATATCTTCCTTGAGAGCCTTTAGGTCGAACGGGGGTGCCGCCTCCGAACCCACCCGACCAGCAACAGAAAAACATGATACAACGGTGGCACCACCCACTAATGTCGTGGCAGCAGCAGTAGAAAAAGCAAAAACCCGAGAGAAGCGGAAGCGACCGTATCGGTGTTGCGTCGCCACATTGACAACAAGGCGCCTTGAAAGAAGTGCACCAACACGAGAAAACATACCTTTCAACCTTTTTGATCTACAATCTCGAAATATATCTCCCAAAGCAAGAGAAAGAGTAGGACAAAAAGTGAATGAGATGTCTTACTACAGAATTAATGTGGGATATTCAAATAAAGTGACTGGCAAAACCATGAGAATTATCGTTTGTTCACTAGATTGAAATAATAGTGTGGAGCGTAATGAGAAGGCACAAATAAATTGATTGGAAGAGAGAAAGAATTAAAAAAAAAAAAAAGTAAAAATGAAAATATTTGAATAACAAGAGGTAGAATTGAATTACAGTTGCCGCACATTTTTTGTTACTAAATCACCTGGTTCGAGGTGTACTAATTTCAGACTCTGTACGATTTGAACTATTACCGTAAGTAGCTGTGGCATTTTTTAGTGGTTGTTGCGTTAAATCTTCCTCAGTGGTAGTGTTCGCTCTCTGAAGACGTGGTACAGAAACAAAGTTTTGATTCTGCTTCCGTAATGAGGATGTGCTGAATGTGCATGACTGTGTAGCACGGTGGTAATTATCTGTGGTGCCTGGAAAATTATCCTGTGGTCCCATTGATCTTAGAGAACGGAGAAAAAATGGTGCAGGGCCATCGACATCTGAAGGTGATTGCGTTGATGGTACCAAAGCAGGATCAGGATTTCCAACAGATGCAGCATTACCGCGGTTACGTTTATATGCAAATGATGGTGTACTAAATGTTTGCAAAAGACGCTTTGACGTGTCACGTGCAGAATCGTTCTCTTCTAATGGTGCTGTGATCATATGATGATAGTCCTGACCTGTAGATGATCCACCACTTTCATTCCCCCATGAATCCTTATATGTATCAATGATTTTAAGTACAACATCTGTGTTATTGATAGGAACTTCACCTTCTGTCCAACCCTTCCAGAAACCAATCAATGCCTTCTGTAGTGCTGAAGGACAAGGATGCTGTCTTGCCGCTACTTCTATATCGTAAGAACCCATCTTAAGCGGAATTATGATACTGCAACCTCTGCTACTCGGGCCACTGTAAAGTGAAAGACGAGACCCTTGTAATAGGTAGAGAGCTAACAATGCAAAAGCGCGGACACTACCCTCAATACGGTACAACGGTGGAAATTTACCAAGCATAGCAGGCTGAGATGAAAGCGCAAGCATAGTGGATGTAATACCGTCATCTTCTCCCTTTTCTATTAACCATGAGAGATTTGCCAATTGATCCAGCCTTACTGTACCAGCTCCAGATGAAGGGGGAGGTGAACCTGGAAGTGGTGTCACGTAAGTTTCCAATGAACACTGACGTCGTAAAAACTGAAAAAATGCCAAAACACTGCTAAAATATGATTGATATTGTTCACGAGATATAACACCATCTGGTGAGCGATTTAATGCTCTGGCACGTTGTAAAATACGTCTTAGTTTTTGTACTATAGTACTATTACCATTACCACTACTATTACCATTAGAACCATTGTAACCTTTACTGCTATTAAGCATCACGTTCTCACATGTAATGAGAATGACAGCAAAAGTTAAGAAAGATTTTTGCTGAGTATCATACTTGACAGTTTCGCTACATTTTCGAGGTACAACTTTCGATGAACCAGAAGTTGACATTGTGTTGTTAGGATTGGAATTTCCGGCAACAAGAATACTGTTATCACCTCCACCTAATAGTTTTCCTCCCTGTGAGTCTAGGTTGGGAAAAGAGGATGTATCTTCCATTTGCTTGCCTTGTGTAGGGATTCGGTCTGGTGTAGTAGTAAAAGACATCACATGATGATGCTTCGCTTCTTCTATTGCCGAAAGGTGGGGAATAGGAGGCAAAGATGCGTTCATAACACTACGAGTTGGACTCGGGGTGTGACGTTGGATTGGTAGCAGTGAACCAAAATACGTTGTCCGCTCCTCTTGTGCTACCATAATCTGCACCAAACGTGATACACGCATTGGGCGGCATAAATCAAGTGCTTTCCAGAGAGTTCCTGATGTTAACTGACGACGCCATGTTTTCCTCAAACGCGAAAATGATACGCGCAGCCATATTGGATGAACCACAAATACAATCAGGAAAGCGAAAATTGTCAGCGTCTCAATTGAGAAAGCGAAAAAAGAAAAAAGTAACAAGGTCAAACAAAGCAATAACATACGTTTCATTTTTCCCACATGTTGAAAAATAAAAGTGAGTTCAAAATAACAATCACTTTGTAGTCCCTGTGAGAAAAATAGTCTTGCGCGAGACATGCTATTAATAATATGATTATGGGTACTGTACAACACTGCTTGGAATCGATCTTGCCGTCCTGTCACTGATACTACAGGATCGGTAGTTCGAGCAATACGTGGTGGAACACGGTAGAAGAGTATCGTCATTCGAAGCGCCAAGACCACTTCCACTACGAGAGCTAGAATAAGGCCCATATCCACCATATCAGCAATAAGCACAACCCAAATAATAAAAAGAAGCAACAGCGTTTTACTGGTTTGTCGCCATGATACAGCATCATTTATCCGAAGGAGTGTATCAATCAAAACTATGTAGGGTACAAGCACAAAGCGAACCACCGGAGAACTCATTTGTTGTTGTAAATCTATATCGCTCTCAAGAAAAGAATTACAAAAAGTACCACTAAACCGGTCTACAGCATGAGTATTGTTGCCATTCCCAACAGGACACAAAGGTGTTGAAATTGACCCAGCATCTATTTTATTACAGCAAAGCAACGATGGTAACGATTTCGTGCTAAAAATTATGCTAACCGCTTGGAAAGTAAGCACTGCACTTCCCCCAATATCTTTACCAAACATACCGTTTGTTACTACAGTGTTTAGGTTTAGGGCTTCAACTGATGCAATCATACTCTGTTTGGGCTGTAGTGTAACGCTAACACCGCTATTACTAATGAGTAACTCTCTCAAGGATATCTTCGCTACGCCAATACAAAGACTGTAATCTTGTAGTTCAAAGTAGGATGGATAGAAAGTCTTTACAGCTGATGTTTCCTCTTTATCAAGCTCTGGTGCGAGCTGTAAGAGACGTACCTTTACATTTCTCTCTGCAACAAAAAGAGGAAGTGATGCAACTATAGCTTCTCCAATATAGCAACGGTAACGTTTTGTGCGTATCTCGCTTGCGTCCCAATTGGTTCTTATTTGTCTTTCATGTTGTTGATGTTCAATATCTCCAGAAATATCAGAACTCTCGATGCAAACGAGATTTTCAAAGATAAACTGAATTTTTACACGAGGATGAAAATGTTTTCCGGAATTTTTTCCGTTCTCAGGGAGCTTTACAAAAGACTTTCTTAGGCTTGCTTCGAGTAGGGGACGATGTCTCAGTTGGTGCATACGAATGAAGCTCTCTGCGTCGAAGGAGCACATGTTATCAATGCGGGAAATGCGAAACTCCACATGCATAACTCACAGAACCTAACCAACGTCGTGTAACTCAAACAATATGATTCGTTATTTGTTTCCTTTTTTTTTTCTTATTCACCAATTGTTTTCGAGACCTTATGTGGAAACACAAACAAGGAACAATTATGCAAACACAAAAAACATTACAAAATAAAAGAGTACACACACACAGAGAGAGAGGAAGATAAAAAAAAAGAGGGCAAAATTCAATGTCTTTAGGTTTTGCTGGAATTTATTCCGTAGACCTCATGGTAGCATATTAAAGAGCATCCATCAATGCATTATGCAGTGAGCACAAGTGCGAACAAATGATAATTATTCCCTTCTTCTTCAAAGAAAAAGAAAGAGATAAAGATAGTCGTGAAGCATTACACAGACGAATAAAATATCTACAAGAACATTATTTTGGGTGTCCATTTTTTTTTTTTTTTCTTTTACGATGCAGTCTCGTTTTCTAAGAGTTCTTCAGATGCATTGCTAGAAGACCAAGATGAAGTCGAAAGAGCTTCTATGAGACGATGGACCGCATCCTCTGACTCCTCTATACTATTCAAGAGTGCGTTTGGGGACGTCTTGGAGACTATTTTTTTCCCGGATGCATAAGGGAGAGAAAAACGTGATACAGTCTCCAAAGAAGAACTTGGTAACGTGGGGTATTCTTCACGATGAGGCGTTGGAGAAAGTAGTTTTTGCCCCCCTGTTAAATTCTCTCTACCTTTATCCTCCCAATAACGTGGTTCTTGCTGTTGATGTTCGTGGTAACATTCTTTACGTCGCTTTTGTCGCTTACTCCCTGAGTATGGCAACAAAAAAGGAGAACAAATTGCACCCGAATTACCATATTTCCGAATCCCGGATTCTTTGGCTCGCATCACCCCCACACTGCTAGAGAGCATCAAGGAACACAAATACAAAAGAAGAATAAAGAGAAAAGCATATAAGTCCCACTGCATCGAAGCGTTTATTTTTATTTTTATTTTTATTTTTTTTCTTCTATCAATCATTGTCTCTTTAGGTGACTCCTAGAATTCCGTGTATTTAATCGATTTGTAGTAGAAAAAATTATTTGCAGGTCCTGAGCTCTTCAACAAATGTATCTTTATTATTTACTGTTTCTTCTTAGACTCGTTTGTTGACTCTTTTCCTTCATGACACTCATGGTCACTCTTTTCTTCCATTTGTTCTTGGTTTTCCTTGTTATCAAGGTGTTTTTGTTCAACTTCTCCTTCATTCCTACTAGTGCCATCCTCATCATCGCCGTAATCAGAGGACCCTTCACTACGATTTGAGTCAACAGGATAAATCCACCGCTGGTAGAGTAAGATAAGGAAAACGACATCGTCACGGAAACATGCAAGTCTGTGGAGCCATGGCATCTTTATTATGAATGCGAAAAGATCGTCAATAACAGTATTAAGAGCACGGTACACAAAGGTACGCCAGGGAAGCTGAGTGACAGTTTTCATTTTATAATTGATGAATATCTGCGGCGTCATCATTGCAAACCCAAAAAAATAAATAAAACGTACTTGTGTACTAATTATGAAAGAGTACCATCCTTTATGGGTCTCAAAAAGTGCTGAATAGACAGTATAGCAGAATAGGATAGGTGTCATAACATACATAAGATAACGTACAGCGTTGTCATCGTGTTTGCGCGTTCGTTTATCATAACTATCACTGAATTCTATTTTCCACCACCTACCCTCACCCCGCACCAATCGCGCAGTTTGTGCCAACTTCCAATACTCAACGAGGACACCAAAACCACTGGGTAGCAAGATAGTCCATGACGTTTCATCCCCATCCAAAAGGTAGAGAAAGATAATAGTTTGAAAATAGCAATTCATCACTATTGTTCGAAGCGATAAACCTTTAAAATCTTTTCGATTGCGCCAAAATTTTACGTCGTTCGAAAATGCCAAATACTCAAACAACATGTGCATCAATGTTATCACGCACGTCAACCCCAGAAAATATGGATTTGTCTCCAAAAATATTCGTTTTATTTCATCCGAATCTTCTGATTTCGATAAACCCATTTCCTGCTGTTGTTTCATAGACTGCTCAAAGTTAATATAAATTGCAAATTTCCATAAAGGAAGTGGGGACATAATAACAGTAAAATTAAATGGGGAAGTCACTGTTGTAGCATTGATCTCCAACAAATGATCTCGCAACAGCCAAAAATTGTTAATATAAATTAAAGGAAGGTACTTCTGTGTAACTTCATCTAAATGGTAATACGACTTGATTTGTGGGGGAAGTGGGTTGGAGAAATCTACAATAGGACTCAATGTTAATGTCGGTTGAAAATATCCTTTCCATGGGGAATCAGGTTGTAAGTTTAAAAAACTACTTGCATTATCAACGTTATTAGATTTATCAAATAATTTTTGCTCCTGTCTTATGCGTCGTGGTGGTAAAAACCGAATAAGTGAAAAGCTTTGAACATATTCCTTATTCTTAATACGTACTTTTATATCAAGTGTCAAACTGCAATTTTTGGTGGCGCATTTGCTCAGATTAACACTATACTGATGAAGTATCTCTTGTTCAGAACCTGCGAAAACCAGATCTGTAAACAAAGCTCCAGGAAAAATCTCATTATCGCTTGAATTTATAATAATGGTATATAAATCACCTTTTTCTGCAAAAGGAGCATAACCCATGTTAACACCTCTTTGGAAACTGTTATCAGGTAAGGGAGAATTACTTTTACTGGAGCTGCTCTTAGTATCTCGATTACCAAACATAGAAAGCATAAAAAAAACTGCCACTCCATACATAAGTATCCTTTGCCATATTGAACGTTGTGGAGGATTCTGTGCGTCTTCTTCCTGCAAATATGCACTTGGCATCACTTCTTTCCACTTTAGAAAAAGAAGTCACACGTGTACAGACTAGCCTAGAAATGAAAGAAAAAAATCTCATGACAAATTACAAAAAAAAAAAAAAAAGAATAGAAAACTTCATACAAAACAAGACAAAAATCACGCACTCTTTTCACTTCTTGTTTCTGAGAAAATAAATAAACACATACAATCTATATATCTATTTAGATAGGTATTCGTTTCACAAAACACGGATATTAATTATAAAGCTGAATATGCCTAAGGGTATCCCAAATATCCACAGTACAAAACACATGACCAAACAAGGTTACTATACTTGCCCCATATTCCCTAAGGATATGTTTATTGGGAAGAAACGACAGCCGTGTATCACGCAATGGTTGCTGTAACAAAGAAAGATTAGTTGAATATGTTACTTGCTTTGGTGCAAAAGGAGCAAGAGAAAATATCAGCAAAGAAACTACAAAGACTACAAAAAAGAGTAGCAATATTAATATATTGTTATTATCCTCTTTGAAGTTAGTAAAGTAAAGTTTGTTCCCCCACAATTGAGAAGGGGTATACAAACCTTCTTTACCAGCAACTTGAGCGTATTTCTGTACTATTGCTTTAGCATTACCAACTTCTGATGCTTCAGATGGTAGACATCCTGAAGGTCCTCGTTGTAACCCTAAGAGACGAGCAGAAAATTCGTCTTTGACACGGAAAAGAGTATCGATTTTACCAGTTTTTTCAGTCGAACCTTGAAGAATAGCAACAAAAGTTATTTCCCGTAAATTAGAACTTGGAGCAAGATCAAAGCCCACCGAATCTTGTCGCTGATGTAAGTAAGTTGAAATAGCTGTATCCATTTGTTTTTTGTACTTAGTTGTCACAATATCAATCCAAGTAACTACTTCCTCATCCAAGTTCTTTATGAGATCAAGCTCTGATAAAGAGAATGGTATTTGGAGAGACTTTGTGGTCTTATTTTGAGGAACCTCATCCACTATTCTTTTTTTTTCACACTCCTGTTTTAAAACTTTTTTATCACGTTTCTCATATGGTGACACTAATATAGGGGGATCCCATGGAAACCAAGCAAATTCGCATAAGAAAATCACGTGTACAAAAATAACAGTAAGACGGTATATTGATGGTACTTTACATGTAAACGCGAATAAATCATCTAATACTATGCCCAATTCAGTTAAAATAATATTCGTAAGAGATACCTTCCTTACTGGTAACTTAAGGTAATTCAATGGAAGAGAACATTTTCTCATGATAAAATTATCCCAAATATTGGGTGTCATACGATATAAATGCGCCAAAACATACAACACACCAAATATCATGCTAAAAAAAAACTCTAATCTATCATCTTCATAATTTTCTTTGTTAAGGTAATATTGGATACCATTAAGGAAAACTGGTATACCTACAAAAAATCCTGCTTCTCTGTAACAATCAATATAAGATATTTTTACCATCTGTGACATTTCTCTTTCTTCTGCAGAAGACTTTGTAACTGAAACGCAGTAATAAAATACCTGAAGAAGTACCACAATATTAAAACCAGATATATACAAAAACTCGTACACTGTAAATAATCCCATTGTTAAAATTCTGCAAAATAACTGCAAAGGCCACGAAAAATCTTCACCTTTATTAGAACGATTATTTAAAGTTCTTCGAATAAGATAATAAATCTCCTGTGCAGCAGAGAATGCCATGTTATACAAGCGGAAAAAAACCAATGATCGAAGTTGAATAAGTTCTTCTCTATATTTATTTGCTAATTCCAATCGTTGACTTCCTCGAGCCAACAAAACGTCATGTGCACGTTGAATTTTTACCATCTGAAGACGACAAGAATCACAATTAGGGTTCCGATCTGGATGCCAACGTTTTACAGCCTCTCGATATGCACGTTTTATTTCCCGTGGTTGGGATCCAGAAGGAATTCCTAGAACTCTAAAATGTGTTTCTGCCTCCACGTCAATTAATACTTCCCAAAGAGGCCAACAAAAAAACAAAAACAAAACCAAAAAAAGTAACACTGCCATTGTAGGAATTAGAAAGCGACTTATTGATCCATACCTCGATTTCCTTTCAAGATATTCGCGTAAACAGCAATTAAGCCACTTTGATTCTGCCTCAAATCGTGATGATAATATATCATCTTTTACATCATTAACATCATCACCATCAGCTAGAGGAGGAAAAGATATAACTTCAATTTCAGAATCTTTTTTTTTCTTAACAAAAAACATACGATTCACTGCATGCATTCGATCTACAAAAACAGCAAAGTCTTCATTTTTTTTTAACGCATTTCGCCCTATCATACTTATCTGTCCATTGGCATTATGGTCTCCAATTCCAACTGCAGTATTTTCGTTGGGAAAGGAGGATCGCATATTATTTCGTCGCATTTGTTTCTATTTGAACCACAAAAACATAACGCAATACGTAAAAAAAAAAAGAATGCAAATAGAAGTAAAAGAAAAAAGAAAAAAATAATAATAGAAGAATAAGTAGGAGTAAACAGCAAACAAATAAAACAATATTGTGACAAAAAAAAGATAAAAAAAAAGGGGATTTTTTTTTTTTTTTTGAAAATAAAGGGAGGGGGAGGGAAAAGCAATTGAAAGAATAAATAGTTCTTTCTTCACAATATAGGAGAAACATATTCAGCATAGCCTACTCAAAACGTGGTCTTTGCGAACTTTGAAAGCCTGGTCGAGGACGAGGAACTGGAGGTAAAAGAGTAATAGCACTCAAACGGTTAGAAACTTCAAAAATATCACCCCGTTTAGAAGGATCCTTGACCAACATTGTATTCATCACAACCTCCATAAGAGGACGAAACTCCAGAGGGACAGTGTTTTCTTCTCCGCGGAATCTAATGGGTTTACCATCTATTATTTCCAAGGTATTTGGTTGAAATGGCATCTCGAAAAACACCAACAAATATACCAAGACCCCCAGACTCCAAATGTCACATTTTGTATCCACCCGTTGCTTTGACCATAAATCAAGAGACTCTGGTGAACGATAAAGTAGGGTCATTTTCTCCTCAAGCTCTGCTTCTGCTATCGAAATTTGATAAGCGTCTTTTGGTGCATAATATAATCGAGTTGCACTTCCAAAATCACACAATTTCAGGTTTTGTGAATCGGCAAATAAGAAATTTTCTGCTTTTATATCCCAATGAGAGACTGGAGGTGATTGACTATGTAGATAAGCGACTATACGAACAATACAATCGCATATTTCGTAAACCTCTCGAACAGCAAAAGGCTGTTTTACACTCATTCGCATATTTATATAATTTGCAAGCGAAGGATCATCACAAAGTTCCATTACAATCCAAACTTCTGGAAGTGGATGTCCAGGAAGTTCAACAACATCAGAATCATAAAAAGTAACAATAGAAGGGTGAGGACATAAAGAACGATGCAAAGAAGCTTCCTCCATAATCTGATTTGGCTGTTGATCTTGGTCATTTAACAGAAATCTCTTAAGGGCAACCAAATTTCCTGAACGTACATCTTGTCCCTCATAAACAAAAGAATTTGCTCCCTCGCCCAATATACGACCAACATTGTATTCAATTCCTTTAATAATAACAGTGGAAGGATGTTTTGAATTGGAAGAAAAACCCCTAGCGTACAAAAGTGCTTCCTTCACAACCTGTGCGCAAGATGAAACATGAGTTCCCATTATTTCAACACTGTACAAAAACCAACACAATCAAAGAAAAAAAAAAGTGAGAAAAAAAAACGATTATGGGAAACGAAGAAACAACTCAGAATCCCATGTTCCTATCGGAGCCAAAAAGAAAAAAAAAAAAAACATTAACACTGTACAACAATCTTACATAAACAACATTTACAATGAACATTTCTCCACCAATCCACCTCAAAAACCTGGACAAGAACAGAAACGGCAACATCCAATCAATGAAACGGCAAGGAAAGATCGAAAAAACACGAAAGTGGGGAACTCAAGAAAAAAAATTATCGTAAAATGATTACCCAGAGATTGTTTGATTATGTTTAAAATAGAAAATGGTGAATGTAAGCAAATGACTTTCTGATAGACACTACACACAGAAACCCCCTTCAAAAAAAAAAAAAAAAACAGGAAAATAAATTCCAATAAAGGGGAATAAAATGTAGAAATCATCCTTGCATCAGTTTAACTAGAGTAAATAATCTTCAATAGGTGGAAAGGAATGCCTACCAAGAAGAATAACCACAACAGGTCACAAGAAGGTATATGGAATGGTTAAAAAAAAAAAAAAAAAAACCATTAGTCAACTCTGGTTAGCGAAGAAGGAAAAAAAAAGAAAAAAAAAAAATAGAGACCATAAAAAAAAAAACATATCCTTGTATTACCAGTATTCATTAGCTGTTTTTATTACCATTGGTTTTCATCGCGCTAACAACGCGAAAAAGAAAAAAAAAGGAAAAACAAAAACAAAAACACAGAACCAGTACACATCATTTTACTGGCCCTAATAAATAAAATCTTATTTGCACACTTGACGAGAGTTAATACCGAAAAAAAAGGAGCAAAAGAAACACATGAATAAGTCCTCAGACCCATCAAGGTGAAAAAAGAGGGGACATCACTACAAAAAA